GGGCTGCGGCGTGTGGAGGGGGCTGCGGCGTGTGGAGGGGGCTGCGGCGTGTGGAGGGGGCTGCGGCGTGTGGAGGGGGCTGCGGCGTGTGGAGGGGGCTGCGGCGTGTGGAGGGGGCTGCGGCGTGTGGAGGGGGCTGCGGCGTGTGGAGGGGGCTGCGGCGTGTGGAGGGGGCTGCGGCGTGTGGAGGGGGCTGCGGCGTGTGGAGGGGGCTGCGGCGTGTGGAGGGGGCTGCGGCGTGTGGAGGGGGCTGCGGCGTGTGGAGGGGGCTGCGGCGTGTGGAGGGGGCTGCGGCGTGTGGAGGGGGCTGCGGCGTGTGGAGGGGGCTGCGGCGTGTGGAGGGGGCTGCGGCGTGTGGAGGGGGCTGCGGCGTGTGGAGGGGGCTGCGGCGTGTGGAGGGGGCTGCGGCGTGTGGAGGGGGCTGCGGCGTGTGGAGGGGGCTGCGGCGTGTGGAGGGGGCTGCGGCGTGTGGAGGGGGCTGCGGCGTGTGGAGGGGGCTGCGGCGTGTGGAGGGGGCTGCGGCGTGTGGAGGGGGCTGCGGCGTGTGGAGGGGGCTGCGGCGTGTGGAGGGGGCTGCGGCGTGTGGAGGGGGCTGCGGCGTGTGGAGGGGGCTGCGGCGTGTGGAGGGGGCTGCGGCGTGTGGAGGGGGCTGCGGCGTGTGGAGGGGGCTGCGGCGTGTGGAGGGGGCTGCGGCGTGTGGAGGGGGCTGCGGCGTGTGGAGGGGGCTGCGGCGTGTGGAGGGGGCTGCGGCGTGTGGAGGGGGCTGCGGCGTGTGGAGGGGGCTGCGGCGTGTGGAGGGGGCTGCGGCGTGTGGAGGGGGCTGCGGCGTGTGGAGGGGGCTGCGGCGTGTGGAGGGGGCTGCGGCGTGTGGAGGGGGCTGCGGCGTGTGGAGGGGGCTGCGGCGTGTGGAGGGGGCTGCGGCGTGTGGAGGGGGCTGCGGCGTGTGGAGGGGGCTGCGGCGTGTGGAGGGGGCTGCGGCCGGGCGCTTGGTGAAGGGGGGCGTGGGGCTCCTCTGGGCTGCCGCCCCTGCGGGTCAGGAAACCTGGTGTCTCTCTCCTCCCACCCCCTCACCACCTTTTGTCACTGCATTTCTCTTTCCACGATTTCTTTATCTGAATTTTGTGAGGACTTTGGAGAGTGGTGTTGTGTTTGGTTTTGTTGTTTTTTTTTTTCCTTATTTAAGCTTGCTCTATTATGAAACTAAACGAAAAAGAAGTCCTAGATAATACAGCTACAGTTGCAGAGTTGACAGCATATAAGAAGATATAATTGGGTGAGGATATCAATCCATTGTGCAGGTTATCTTCAATTAGGCTGAAGAGTAACACTCTCAAGAAACAGATATAAGGCAGAATTATGTTTGAAATTAGTTTACGTAAATTGTTTTGGAAACAGGAAGGTGAATTTTGGCAAGGAGAGGGAAGAGGAGAGAGACATCTTTGAATGCGTACCCATTCAGCTCTGGCTATCGCAGTTTAAATTCCTGAAAAGATACCCTAAGTTAAAACTCCTCACAGTGATGTCCCTTGTTACTGCTTGGCTATATCCTTAAGCCTTCAGAACTTAAAACTGTATCTAGGTGTTTTTGTGTGCTGCTCTGTTCTCCGCTGCCTCTTGGTAACTCTTAGACTGTGGTACAGCCTCTGGTTTGTTTATGCTACAGTTGCTTACCTGCTTCTCTGCTGTTGAACCTTTTACTGATTAGCCCTGTTTTGTGTCTTATCTTTTTTGTAGATAAGACTAGAATTTCAGATTTTTCCTATTTCTTTTCATAGTTAATGTTGCTAGTTGTTTTAACGATTTTTTTTTTTTTAGTCTTGGGTGGTTTTGATTCTCTTTAAGAAAATCCCGATTTAGCCTTGTAGGATTTGTAAACAAAACCAAGCAAAGATTATGCACACGACATTTCTATGTATTTTGGAAAATAGTCGCTCCTTTATCCAGCCACTTAGTGGCTAAAGTAGGGAACAGATTAGAAGTAAGTTATCAAGTCTGTAGTTAGAAAGCTATTTTAATAATCTTGTAGTCCTGTAATCAGGGTGTTATGTGGGATTTGAAGGGACCTGAAATTGGAGAGGAGTTGGAGGGCTTTGCCACTCATCTGAATTCAGATTTTGGTGACTGCTTACAGAAAAATTTAGCCTGACTCTTTCTAGTAAACATCTTTTAAACATCTGTCTGGAGTAAGCAAAAGTTGCAGGATTTCTTCCACACTCTACCGTTGCAATTGCTCTTTAGACTTTACCCTAAAAGCTTTGTATCTTTTAACAAGGAGGGCTTTTGCTTTCATGACTTCCCATGGGTTTTGAAGAAACTCAGCAGTGTGAAAAGTAGCTGTTCCTTCAAAGCAGTAATGAAAACTACCTTCTGCTGTAATATCTACAGAATACTGATTGATAACTGGATGGATGACAGATGATGCCATGTGTTTCTGAAGATCGTTGTGTGTTGTTATCACGTTTCCATTCTTACTAGCCTTGAACCAAGACAGCAAGATCCTAAGGGCAGGAACTTTTAAACACCTAAATGTCCATGTAATAGATCCTAGAATTCAGGAAGGGTCTTTGGTAGTATGGTAGTGTGTTTAAACAATGTTGATGTAACTGCACTTGGAGATAGTTCTATTTCCTGTAACTGACAGCATTTTCTGTATTCCATGCAAGCATATGCATCTGCTTAAATGGTGAGCACTATTGTACTGAACACATGAACAGAATAACGCAAACCCTGTAGAAGGTGTCAGCTGCAGTTAGTTTTCCTCTCTTGTTTGTGATCCTTCTGCATAGGAAGAGAAGGATGTCTTAAATACTGAGTGGGAGGAAATGTCAGAAAACATGTGTGGATAAAGTTCCTGACTGAGAGGAGTAAGTGGTGTTTTACCTCTACTGCACAGAGGGCTTGAGTTTTTTCAACATGTAGTCTCTTGACATTAGTAGATGCAGATACTTTAATCAGGCCATAAGAACAGAGCTAAACAAATATTTAAGTTAACAGTGTGGCCACAAGGATGTGGGGGTATAAGGGAAATATAGGTAATAAGATAACATTAACGTCTTTTACTAGATTGATAAATTCCCTTGGAGGAATAAAGCTGGGCAAGCTGTTGGTCACTGGCTTAAAATTTTTGCAGCCCTCTACATCTCCTTGGATAGACAGATGCAAAATATCACTAGATTTTGAGGGGTAGGAAGATTGTACCTTTTTGTTTGATAATTAAAACATATTTTCATACTTTCTCAAAGTTTGCATTTGAGGAAGAACTGCACCTGGCTCCAGAAACTGAGCAAGTAGTGTAAGACAGCAAATACAGTATTTCAGGACTGGATGCCATAATTTCTCTATTGTCAATAAATCCTTTTGGGTGTATTACACATGAAATCCTACAATTAACCTGTATTGCCACTTCATTTACAACATATACTGCTCTTTTATCTATGTCCCTTGGCTTCTTTACTTAGTGAGTATCAGGGGGTGAGATTACTTTAACTACTATGCTTTTTTGGAGGTAGTTGTAGATCTTCCTGATCTCTGCATACATGTCCTCACTGTTCCTTGTTTCCCTGTCTCTGACTTCTTTTCCTGTATGGATTTCTACATCTTGGATGTAGCCATTGCAATTAGAAGCTCAATTCCTATTGAGTGCATGTTGCTATTTTAGGTTTTTGCTGTCTTGTTAGATTTTGAATGCACTTCTCACAGAAGTTCACAGCAAATGCTTTCTTTAAAAGTAATCATGCAGCAGATTAAGCCAAAATGAGACTCCCAACACTTGCTTATGGCTGTGGCATGAGTAGAAAGATTAGTTGCAAATCATGACAATACACAGGTGAATAATGTGCCATTAGTGTATTTTTGTATCTGTAAATGTTGTAACAAGCTGACACATCTGAAAGTGCTTGCTCTCAATTCAAAATTAATGTTTAAGCTTTTTTGTTCTGTTTTACTACTAGCTAGGAATAGTTTAATTGATTTAATGAAAGCTATATTTCTGGGGTATCATGAAGATTAGGCAAGCTTAGAGGGGATACTGATATTAATGTACTTTAAGATGTCTAACTGTTCTGTTTTTGATAGGCAGGAACTTCTTCAGGATGGAGAGCTACGTTTCTTATCTTTGTTGGATTCTTGGGATCATCTGAGATAGTCTCCTGTTATGTTTTTGACAAGACATATCCATTCTTCAGGAGAGGTTTTCTCCATATAGTACACGTTGAACCTTGAACACTTAAGCAGCACACCAGAAATGTAAGTTTGATGTGTATTGATGAGAGTTAAGTTCAAATTTAAGCAGAAAATTATGGGTTTGGTCTACTACATTTGGGAAGCTATCACTGCAAAAAGAATAATGAATCTTGTATATTCGTGAGGAAAATATAAATAGTGTTTAAAAAAATAAAATCCAACTGGGAATTGTTAGCAATTAGAGTTGTAATGAGAGGTTATGGTATTACTAAACATGAGATAAACTTCTTTTGATCTTCTTGGTACTTCAGTTTCTGGAGAAGCTGACTTGATCTGTACTTTGAGGGGAATTGGGTACAGCTTAAAGGCAGGCCTTTAAAGATATTCTCACCCGTAAGTAGGAGTTTTGGAGTATCTTGAGTTCCTGTAGCCCGCTCTACTGTATTCATAAAAGGCAAAACTGCAACGTGTATCAAAATCTTCCCTATGAAGAGACAATTTTTTTTTCCTTATGAAGTAAATAAGTGTCATCATAATGACATGTGAACCACCTTTGCTATGTAATTTTTAGCAACATGATCTCCAAAATTTGTCCTGGAGCTGTTGGAATTTGAGGCCCTGGCTTTTCTTACGGTCTGAGCTTTGGCTACTTGCTGTATATTGGGCATGTACCACTTGTTAAAACAGTAGGGGAATCTCTTGGAGGAAGGGGATCATCAGGATGGGATAAGTTTGTGCTACACAGAGGATACAGAAGTTTGTTTGCTTTAGGTGTACAGGTTTGGCTACATAATTGTAGGAATTAACTACATTTCTGTAATAGGTTGCCAGATGTGCATGTACAGTAAGGAATATGGAAACTTATGTTAATGGCTTTTAGAATATTGGTAGATTATTGTGATGGGAAGGGGATGTGAACTGTAAAGGTAGCTGAAATATGAAAATGTCAAATAAGAGGAGGAAAAAATGCCATTTTTTCACAAGTGCTTTTCTGTGCTGCATCTGTTGAAACTGCAGACTGTATTTGTATGTTCTTTCACTAGCTCTGCTGGAAAAAACCTCCAAGCTTTCTCTGTATCTTCAACAACATTCCATTATAGCAGTGGTTTTCAGCACTTATTGATTGGTGGAGCTCTTAAGTCTTCTAATGAAGTGTTGGACAGTTATAATTTCAGTGTAATTTAATTTGCTGTGTCTTGGCTAGTCTGTGTTGATCTGCAAGTTAGACCCTTACAGTCAACAGGTCAGTTTTGAGTACCAGTGTGCTATGATATATTGAGACTTGAGGAGCATAACACTTACTACATTTATTTAGATGTTATCAACAGCAAACCTAGATTTAAATTACTGGTTTAATAAATGATTGAAAACACATACAGTATTTAATAGCTAAGCTACTGTTATAAAAGATGTGAAAAATCTTAGCTTTTACAAAATACCAAGTTCAGTGATACTCCCTTTTACCATAATTGTGTTTTTACATTTTTCCCTACATTGTTCTTTCTTCCCTTTCAACGTACTCTAACAAACCTGTATGCACTCTTCCCTGATTTGTACTTAGGTAGGAACTTGTAAGCCCTTACGTAGTTAGCTTGTTCTTTAGAAAGGATCTTCTCTGCTGGACTTTTCACCCATAATGTCTTTTCACACCTCTATGTCTAGCAAACTTGCAAGATTATGTTTGTCTACCCTTGTGGTGAGAAGATCGCTGCATCCTCATATGTCACAAACTGCAAAATAATGCTGTAGATGCATAGTGTATCTTTTAAGGTATATGTTTTTTCTTACTGATATCATTTACTTCTCCTGAACTCTCTTCAGGCACATATGCGTAGTTCACCCCTGTCTCATTACAGCCTTAATTCTGCTAAGTTTTCATCAGATTTATTCATAGTTTGGTTTAGTTTATATGTAAAAGCAGTAGCAATTTTCACCTGTTTCCCTGTCTTCACTGCTAACCATGAGTGCAGAGGTTTAGAGTTTTTATCTATGGCTTTGCCCCTTTCTAGCCAATTTTGTTCACACTTCCAATGTGATGTTAGTTATAATGAAGCTTTATAATTTAGTTTTCAGACTGAATTATAGTGAATGAATCTGCAAGGTGTTAGAGTCAAATGTAGGCATACAGAGGTCTCTATAGCATACCTCCGAGTGAAGAAAACTGTCTTTTTTTAGTAAGCTGCTACCTGCATCAGTGATTCTATCACATCCTTTGTAAAAGCAGTATGGCTTCTTCCTTGGAAATATGCACAAGAGTTTGCCCTTCCTGAACAGAGAGATTATAGAAGGGTTAAACTTACATAGTTTTGTCTTAATAATGTTCCTAATATTTACTCTTGTAAACTTCAAATTACTCGAGTTATGTGGACATAATTCATAGTAGCTGACAAAGTGGACAAATTTGCTATAGGGTTCTCCCAGCCTGCCTAGAGGCTGTGAAACTCTGTGCAGTTATGTCTTTGATGTTTCGTGTGTGAACTTTCTGAGTCTTCTGATTAGTGTCTCTGGGTTAGTGCTCCCCTCCAACATCAGTTTTCAGTTTCAGTGTCGGGTTGTATTCCTTAATAAAGCAGACATTCCAGCCAGGAATTAATACAGAAGTTGAATATTACTTGTTAAAACAATGTAGTATAGTAATTTGTTACATATCCCTTACTGGTTCACCTGTATTCAGTGGTTTGTCTTTATTTGGGTAATCTCCCAGAATTATTCCTTTTGGATACTGATGGTGGTAAAATTTTGAAACAGCAAAAGCTAATGAGAACTAGGACAAGGGACTACTTAAAAATGTTTGATGTAGAATCTTAGTGGTATAAATAAGTACACAGCATTTCAATTAAGTGCTGCTTTAGGGAAGGATAATGATAAAATTGAGGCATAACAAGAATAAACTGATACTTTCAGAGCACAACTGTCAAACTACATGTATGTTAACAATATGCCTATTAGAGAGGAAGTAATGCTAAAATGTTTTAAATATCTCTTAGGTCTTAAAACTTATTATTTTTACTGTAAGTTATACCCACGATGGAAACAATTGATAGTGTTAAAACTTCAAGTTTATAGAATCAAGTTTTCTTTCCAAATGAAAAATGTTTAAGGGAGGTGTGTGTGTGTGAGGGGTGACACGTCTAAGGTAGTCTGACCCAGCCTTATAGGTGGCATCTGACAGAAGTCTCTTTCCTGTCTTTCCGTTCCCTTGCCCATATGGTAACACAGTTGAGAGAGCAGGAAAAACATAAAACAAAAAGATAAAAGCTCTCCCCCCTTTTTATACAGTTTTATGTTGGGATTTGTCCCTGAGCCAGGTCACCATGAAGTCTGACAAATGCTTGTTCTGTTACTGTTAATTCAAGAGAAGTGGCAGGAGTGTATGACTAGGAGGAGGACTCTTGGCTATTCTAATCTATGCGTTCAGAATGTGATTTAAAATGAGAAACTCACAGCTATTCAGGCAAAATTTCCCATCCCCCATTTAATTCAAACACTGAATATACCTTATTGGAAGGAGCTACTGTGAAGCATGGACTACTGTTTGTGCAGATCAGTTATGTACCAATTCCTTTTGCATGTCACAGTTGTCTTCTGCTAGGAAGCTTACTTGTATAACTACATTGATAAAAACTTAATAGAACATTTGTTACATAATGTGATTGAGTCTCAAGCTGCAAAATATACCTGAAAGGCTTTTCCATGGTATTTCCAATTAGTGTGTGCTACAGCAGGGTTTCTCAGTAACTTCACAGGTTTTTGACCTTGTGTCTGCAGATGGAGGAGGAGGACCTAAGTGAAAGAGGATTGCCACAAATTGCTTCAATCATGAATAGAGTTAGAGACTTGAAAAACAAATACAGAAATGAAGACAATATCACAGATGAGCTTAACTGTACTAAAATCTCGGCTGATACAACAGGTATGTGGTTTTTTTTGTTACTCTGTTGTCACTTATCCAACAGTTCTTAATGTAAACTGAGTGAAAGAACCATTAACTGAAAGGATTTAAGGGTTAGCATTTCTCAGTATTAATGACTGCAAAGTACATTACATCTCTCCTTATTTCTTTAGTTAACTGTCATCTTGTTTAAAAAAAAAATCACTGGTTATCTTACATGAAAGCTTATAGAAAGTATTGTCTCCTATTCATGTTTGCTTCAGTTTTAATCAATCTCTTTTGTTATCTTTCTGTCAGATAACTCTGGAACTGTTAATCAAATAATGATGACAACAAATAACCCGGAGGATTGGCTGTGTTTTTTGCTTAGGCTAGAAAAAAAGGGTATTCCTCAAATGGATGTTAGCCTACTGAATAGACTCATTGGTCGTTACAGTCAAGCGGTGACTGCACTACCTGCAGAAAAGCATAGTCAAGATGAGAGCTATGCTCGCATCCTTGTGAGATTTGCCGAGTTGAAAGCGTAAGTATAAATTTTTCAATATAAGAACTTATTAGTAAGAATTCTGCATTTGAATGATGACAAAAATAACTTGTTTTCATTAGTGGTTTCTACAACAAATTATCTTGTGAATGATTTCATATCAACTTGAAACTCTGAGCCCTTCTGGCCAGTCAGTTTCTGTTGTCTCCACAGTACTTGCATTTTTTTTGTATATGCTAATAAACATGAGTGTTCACAGCTATTTTATTTAGAGATGTTAACTCACTTCTGGGTTCTGTGTGTAAACTATGTGGAGAAATAGCATAAGACCCTTTTTTTTTCAGCTTTATACTTCAGCTCGAAAGCAGCTGTGTGGGTGAAATCTGATATAATTTTGTGTAACTATAATTTGCTATTATCTAAGCCATCTAGGCAAACCATAGTGGTCTACCCTTGTCTGCTTTCTCCCTTACTACGAAAGACTCATCCCAGCTACATTGAATTAGCTACCTTAGGGTAGGAAGAATGTCTCAGAATACCATTCTGTGCTTTCATACTTTTTGAAATTAGTTTTGACTGTGGTCATTTATGGCTTTATTCAGTCCAAATTTTGAGCAGTGTGGTTGTTCAGATGATTTGGGTCAGGGTTATAATTTGATTTTGTTCTTAAGGAGTTCTTCTGTCACTTGAAATTGTTACATTACAGGAAACATCTGGATGAAGAGCTCCATTTTTTGGAGCATAACATTGCAGCAATCCTTAACAATTAGAGTTGAGCAGGTTGTTTTCTAGTGATGATAGTGTTTCTCTTTTTCTTCTATGTCCTTGTATTTGGCGTTTTGGCAGGTGACTTGATGTTGCAGTATGATATTGTATACTTCTTTGTCTGTACTGTCATTTGCATGGATCTTGCTGCATTAGTGTTTACTTCCATTGTATGCTTTTAGTAATCTGTTGAATCTACATTGAGAAATAAGCAGGAGTGAATAATGACCTGCTATGAATCCGTAGTCTCTTGAAGAGATAAGGTGTTTTTGTGTAAGTGGAGTAAAACATATCTTTCAGAAAGACCTCCTGTCTTTAAAGATATTGAGAGATGGTGTTCTTGTTGCTTTTCGTCAGAACAGAAATTGTATACCGTAGGCTTCAAGCTCATACTTTCTGGAATTTCCCTTCCAGAATGGTGATTGCATGCTATTATCAAGTCTCATCTGTTATTTCATTATATGCAGTAATAGTTTTAATTTCAGAAAGAGGATTTCCTACCTTAATCACTTAAAAGCTTCTGGACCTATTTCCATTTGATCTTTAAGACATGGTTTTAAGGGATGCTTTCAAAATGGATATTAGAACTATGTTCAGTATTGTGTGTTGAATTGTAGAAAGCAAAACTGAGGGCGCTGTCAGTATAATACTGAAATACCTTTTGTTTTGGTAGCTAGCATTACTGTAGGATCTACTTAGCTCACTGGGTACTTCAGATCTACTCTCTTTGTTTTTTGCTTCATATTTTTAACTGGCAAATACCATCAGTCATATCTTTCCTGACTTGAGAATGAAAATTATTTTTTAAAAAAGATGAACAATCCACTCCCAAACACCTCTTAAAAAAAATGTACCTGCTAAAGTCTGGCATAGGATCCATCCCAATAGAACTTTGCTCTAAGTATCTCCCTAAATGATGGGATCCTGTTTGAAAACTACTTTCAGAGATTAGCCAATTCTTAATAATTTATTATAAGTTAATACTTTCTCATTCAGAGTGGCAGAAAGATGTAGTTTCATATAAATAAATGATATTAATGAACTACATATGTAATCACACGAGACCATGAAATTGCTTTGGATCAGATCTAAAACCCGAAATGTTACTTGTCTGTAGTTTTTGGAGATAAATGTGAAGTTAATCGGTGAGTGGTTATCTGCGTCTTTTGTTTGGCATGTTCATTAATTTCTTTTCATTTTCTTGGTGTTCAAGATTTCCTTGATGTTTCATACTCGCCGCCTCTGCTCCTGGCTGTCATTTTGTCTAGTATTATCTATTTTGTCCTTACTCAGTTGTAGCTTCTGTTAAAGAAAATCTCAACACTTTCTACAGTGCTTCTGATTTATTTTTTTTTTAGCTATTGCAAGTAAAATAACCCTTTGATACACAGGTGCTCTGATTGTATTGCCTTTAGTGGGAGAAGAAAGGTGCTCTTTAGTAGAGTTCTGTTTGCTTTTCTCCTAAATGTTCCACCTAACAGGAAAAGCAAGTCAGAGCATTACAAACCTCAGCAGCAATGACAGTGGCTTGAGATCTTACTGTCTATTGACATCAACACTGGTTTTCTTCTGATCAGAGTTGGATTATTCCGTTCTTGGCACTGCACTTGTGTTGTCCTGATATCTTCTCTAGCTGCAGTTTATGCCCAAACCTTTTGACCTATTATGATTCTGAGGATGTTTGAAGAACCCTTGGATGTACTCTGAAACAGGCACAGGTGAACAGTTGGCTGCATCAGTGATTATCTGTGTAGCATTAACCATGCCAGGCCTGCTTTTCTGTAATGCTTCTGGCTGTAGCACAGTGCCACCAAGTGTGTGGCACTTGATGCCTGTTGCTAATGTTAGTCTTGTTCTGCATACTGCTATACAAGCTGTTGCTGCTTTTTACACAAACTTAAGTTTTAACATGCTTTTTGAAAGCTAATGTAATTCATGTTACAGCTTAATTCCTGTTACTCTGACTTTGCCTGCAGATGAGTTACTCTCTGACTGTCCTATTGCTTTTGATGATCAGAGCTGAGTTGATTAAACTTTCTGGAGTCCAGTAACATGCCTAAACTATGATGGATCTTCTCATTCTTAATTCCACAAAATTCTAATGGAAGTATGTTCTCTTTAGCTTTCTGTGTTGATTTTTCTGTACTTATTTTTTTAAGCTATTGTCATGATTTTTTCATCATCTCTACTTCTAAGTACTAACTTTGCTTACCTGTTGAGCCAGGGTGGAATTTTGAAAGAAATTCCTTTATTTCTTGATTGTGTACTTTGCTAATAAAAGTGTTAAAAGAACTCAGCTGTTTTAATATGAAAGGAGGGGGCATTGAAATATAAGATTAATATGTCATAGTGATACAGATTTGGGCTTTTTCTGTCTTGACCAGTATTTACTTAAGCTGCAGAATATTTAAATGCTGATGTATTGTGTGCAGGCATCTCTGTTGGCCTACATAATGTATGGTTGAATCTAAAACTAGGATTAAAATCTAGTAAAAGAAAAGAAACTATTAAATTACCTTGTCTGGACTGGGTGGCACAACCTCTACATTTTTGAAGTATACCATTTTTGCTATTGCTGATTCTAGTGTGTCTGCAGAAAACGGACTTAAATCTACCTTGTGCTACCAAATTTCTCCTGTGTATGGGGAAAATGGAATTAACTCCCTACATCTTGTAAGGAGTCGATGTTCCCATGGAAGCCTTGGTAGAGGTAGCTATTGGATAAATGCTCTTGTTGTGCCCTAGTTTTCTATAGGTATCATTTCATAGATGTACCAACAGAAACAACTTCCTTCAGTGACCTGCATCTCTAAGGGAATCTGATAGTTTGGGTGCAGTTGCAGAAATTCTTCAAGGTAGAAAAGCTCATAACCTCCAGCAAAATTCTGGAGTTCAGTATTGCTTTAATGTAATGAGCTAGAAAGTTTGTGACAATGTTGCTGCAGGATGTAACTAATAGGGTACACCTTTCTCCTGATGATTAATATGAATACATTTTTCCACACTTGGTGTTTCTAAAGCAATCTCCTTGTCCTCTTGCCTTGCAACCCCTGTAGTATAGGAGTGGACGCATCTAGAAGAACAGAGTTTTCTCTGGATAGTGTCAGCATGTAGCCTAGAAGTGCTACAGGTAGGTGTTCTGTACAGCTTGGTGTGTGTTCTGTAAGAAAAAAATCTACGTATATTGAGGAATAATATCAGCAGTGAAAAAGAACAAGTCCTCAATCTTTACCTTCAGGTTTGAGCACATTCTGTTTTTTTTGAAAGGGTCAGCTTGATATTTTTCAGTTACTGGCTTTTTAAGACTCTTTTCTTGTTTATACTTCACTGTCTCTAAGGAAGTGTAAAAACTTCAGCAATAGATGGATTGCTTTTCCAGATTATCTAAAGCCATCCCCCAGCACATGGAACTTCAACCTTGTTACTTAGGTTTTTCACCTTTTGTGTAACTACTGATATGCTGTCTTTACAGTCTTCAAGATCCAGAGGAGGCACGGGACCAATTTCATCTGGCCAGACTGAACTGCAAGAAATTTGCTTTTGTGCATGTGGCTTTTGCACAGTTTGAGCTATCACGAGGTGTGTAGAAAAACTTGTTTGATGTTGCTGTTCTGTGGTGTTCTAGGTTTTATTGTTTTAAAATTCTACTATGTTGCATACTTTGCAAAGAAAATGGTAAGTATTAATTTTTTGACTGAAATTTAACAAGAACATGTGTTCACTTTTAATGAACATATGTGCACAGTTCTTAATAGGCTTCTTCCTTTTTAGAAATAACTTTCAAACAAGGTAAGTGGCAGTGATTTCTGGTTTTGTTTTTTTTAAGCTTAGATCTTACATTGGGTGGTATGAGTAAGGCTCTTGCTGTGTTAAAAAATTATGCTCAAATTTGAGTGGTAATCTTTTAGGTATTTTCAGCTTACTTGTGGAAGAAATTCTGGCTCCTTCCAAACAGTAACTGTAGTTTCAGTATTCAAAATAAAATGGTAGTCTTCATCATATGGTGCCATACAGCAGTGTTTTAGGCAAGCCATTCTGATGTGAAAGTCATGATGTCTCTTAAATTCTGGTTTCCTTCTTTAAGATTCTTGTCTTTATCCCGTTCCTTGGTATACTGGATCTGGCATGGGTGGGGTTAACTTAATACAGTTAAAACAACATCCTTCCTTTTCACTTCTCTTTTCCTAACTGTAGTGCTGTCTGGAATAGTGGTGTTTGATTTAACAGCTGCTTTTAACTTTGGTTTCTATTAAGTGCATTAACAATGTTTTATGATGGCATACATAATAAGGTTTGTATCTGGACAGATCTAAATGAAAGTCCATAAAGGTCATCTTTGCTTGCTGATACTACAGAAAAAACCCTACATTTTAGAGTTTGTGATGTATTTCCTTACAGTTCCTATAACACTAAACAAAACCTGATAATGCAATTTTGTGAGTTCATAAAGCATATTTTGTCACTTGCTGTTCAGCTTCATGTGAAAAGTTGACTTACGTGATTCAGTTGCAACTAGTTCCAGGCAGTATGCTTAAAGTAGATATCTAAGGTGGGGAAGTGCCTAACGATTAACGGCTTCAAGGAATGATGCAAAAAGCCCCATGTTGCCACGGTGTAACTGTTCTTTATTTCCTTGATTTCTAAATCTGTGTTCCTTGCTATTTAGGAAATGTGAAGAAGTGTAAGCAGCTCCTTCAGAAAGCTGTGGAGTGCTCTGCTGTTCCACCAGAAATGTTGGAAACTGCTCTGCAAAACTTCCGTTCACAAAAAAAGCAGTTGCTTTCAAATGAGGAGAAGGAGAACTTAGCAGGTAACTCAGTTTCTTAAAATGTTGATTGAATTTATGCGTGATGTAATTTTTGATAGAAAAAAGTCTAATGCGTGTGCCTTCTAGATATGAACTCATAATCTGCTGTTGTCTAATAAACAGTCATATTTGTTCTTATTATCTTATTCCTTCAGTACTTGGTTCCATCTTGAATGCAGCGACTGTAGTTTGCAAGAGCCATATGATGGTAGATTCTGTACTTCTGCAGCGTGTTTCTCTCATTAGGTATTTGTACTTGGCAATAGACTTAGAGCTGAAGTGTGAAGTAAGAACTACTGGTGGTAGAGAAGATTTAGAACTGAAACATACAGGAAACTTTGAGGTGTATCTTTTAACAGACTAGTGAAGTCAGTCATTTCAGTAAAGTCAAATCTATGGAAAAATAATCCATTTCAACTTTATTTTACAAATGGACAAACCCCACTTATTTCTCAGTACAAAACTAAAGTGCTTAGCTATATCATAAAACATAACTGATACTGATTGGGTATATAATTTCAATAAAGGAGCAGTTATGAAGTTTTCAAGAGAGAAATCTGGAGTGGATTTAAGCAATAAACATGGTTTAACTTCAATATTGAAGTGCATGCAAATAACTCTTCCAAGAGTGGTGTCTAACACATTTTTGATTTCTATAAGGACAGAAATAGTTCAAAATATGTTTGATTTAATTTCCTTAAGGATATGTCTTCAGGAATGTGGTTTGAGATTTGGCTGGCTTCTACTGAATCAACCTTTGTGTGAAAAACTAGTTGCAGGGGTGGGGAACGCAAACATTTGGCAACAATTGCAATAATACTCAGTTATGGTATTAATTATTTAATAAACTTTAATTTTTGTCCCTATTCTGTTTGTCATTACTCAGATACAGACATGAAGTGCCACAGCAGTTATATGTGCCAGAGGAGAAAAACCTGTGGAATATTCTTCATGGGTTGTACAAGTTCTAGATGATATTATTGGCTTTGCAACAAGTAAAGCCAAGGGAGTAACAGTGAGAGAATACATGGCAAAAGCCTGTCTGCCATCTGCGGGGAGAGTAGGCTCATTTCACTTTTCATTTATATCAACTTGTACCATTAGGTATTTGGAAAATGCTAAGTATTAATTCAGCTATTCAAAGATACACGTTTAAAAGGCAAATAACACTAGACTTGAAATATCTCCAACTCAGGGATATACGTGGCCTAAATCACTGGCTTTAAGTGGATTTATATGGTCCTCCTGGAGCAATAGACTGTTTCAATGTATAGGCATTTAAGTCTTGTCTGTTTTTTATTTCCAGTGAAAGAGCTGCTTTTGAAAGCTTTTTATTTGAAAACAGAAGTGCTGTATATGTAAATGCATTTTTTCACAGCTTCAAAAAATAGTTCAGAAAGCTTTTGGCAAGAATTACATGCAGTTACAGTGTAGTGCCACAGATTTAGAAGCCTTTGGTTAAATTCCTTTTTCCCCCTCTTTCATGCACAGCAATGTAAAGTATTTGACATATCTGGTAGAGTAAAACATGTTTAGTTGGGAAAAATAGTACTTAAAATGTGGTCACAGAATCATTTTAGAATCATTTAGGTTGCAAAAGACCCTTAAGATCATAGAGTCCAACCGTAGTCATGAACAGGATGAGGGGCAGATAGCCTATCTCAAACTGTGAAGGGATAAAAGTATTATAGATCACCAATTTAATGTGAGAATCCAGTGGTAAGCTTGGGCAAAAAAATATTTGTGTGTATGGAAAAAAATTGAAGTATGGGAGGTGTGTGAGGTGGTCATGGTACTGTATTGGTAAACTGCTAATTCAAAACTATGTACAGTGTCAGTGTTATGTAAACCAAAACTTAGAACTACATACATTGAGGCACTTGTCTTTTTATTTAACTGAATAGCTTAGTCTATTGGCATAAGTAGTTTATAAAAAAATTAAGGACTAGAAGTAGCTAATAGGGCAGTGTTCATCTGCCAGAAGTCTGACTTCTGCTGGCTGAAGGTAGAAGGTGGACATGGGAAAATTCAAAATAAAAATCAAATTAAGTTTAATGAACTGATACAGAATTTTAAAATGTTAGGAGAAATGGTATATTCCTTAAACTGATTTCTTGAGAGGCTGTGGATAGCCATGAATTCTTCTGTTTATTGGTCAAGCAAATATGATGGAAAACAAGGCTTACGTGATGTAGAAGATCGTATTATATAGGTTCTTAGTTGTCTCTTTTTTTTTTAAATACATGTTGCTTGATGTCTGATTGTCTTTTAAAAAATATCTTGTGGAATAATTCTGTCTGAATAATCAGATATTAATTCCAATTTTAAAAAGGGTTTGTCAGGAAAACAACTGTATTTAAGAGATTAGTGTATATCTGAAGGCTCTTAAAATAGCTCACACTCCACAATGTTCCCTAAAGGAAGAATTTTCTGTATTGTAACACAAACACAATGTGCTCGTTGGCAGTGTTGATGTGTTTGCAGTCGTGTGTTCTGACTTCTTGTGGTCATTTCTTCACCTCTGAGAAATTATGTTCCCTTCACCTCTAGGCAAAATTATTTTGAATGACGAGCATGTTCTGAGCTGTTTATTTGTGGTTTTGAGGTTCTAGAATGACTTTTCAAATAACTTGATTTCTTGTTCTGCTGAAACCTGCATCTGAAATATATATTTTCACAAAGCTCATTAATAATGTGACTGGGAGTTGACTGGACACTTCATTTTAAGATTAAAGTACAACTTCATATAACTCTTCAATAACTGAGCAAGATTCTCTACTGGATTTAGATGGGGTTGGTGAATGAGCTGTTTGCTATCGCCTGCCTTGATCTTCCCTGACCTGGCAGTAGATCACAGTTTATAAGACCACTCTCAGATTTGCTATCAGTGAACTAATTGTTTACACTAATTTATTTGAATTTACCTGATATGATTTAGTGATTACTCTCATTTAGTGCTGTATTGGCAGGTCAGTGATGTGGAGGGACTGGCAAAAGGTCTTTGTTAACAAGTCGCTGAGCTAGTAAATTCTTCACCTGGCTAGTAGAGTTGACTCTAGAAGGAAATGTGCCAGTGACCTAACTCCTGTCAGGAGGTTTGGAGGTGACCTTGAAATTTCTTTCAGCCTAGTATTTGTCAGTATGAAAACCATGTTCAGTAACTGAAGTTGTGAAACTTCTTAGAATTTTAGTGACTAAAACTGTCTGTGTTTAAAGTATCTCTCTTTCTGAGAGGGGGGAAAAGGAGAATCTGAGACAGAAAAACAAGTGTTTGATTGGTAATAGGTATTTTTGATGTCCTGATTCCTGTCTTCTACTTCTGACACAGTAGGTAGTCCTAGGGATTTAGTATGTGGCCTTCCAGAAATTGTACTGAAAAACCTGAAGGAGAGGGTATGCCCGTGAAATATTTACGTAAGTTATGATTGCTGCTGCTTTATGATTTTCACTAGAACTGAAAAGGCTGCATGCCTTTGCAATTGCAGGCACCCATTAAATGTTTTAAATCCAGATGGATCTACGGAAACATAACTGAGGTAGCACAAAAACATTGTATCAAAATACCACATAAATGAAGTCCAAGCCCAAAAGCAAGTGTTGGACAGGAGAACAGGACACTTCCAAAATATTGATAATATCCCTGGTCTCTGCAGTAGCAAGTTGTTTGTAAGGATTTAGACAGTTGTATCTTTGAGATACTACCTTTGAAATAAGCTGGGTTTTGATGTTTAATTTAGGATTTATTACAGTTATTTAGGAGTGGGTATCCTCATCATGTGTGCTGATAAATAATTGGAATGAACAATGAAAGAATATAAATGTAAGCAGTTTTAAATCTCCTGAGGAGTCCTTGTGGATCAAGCTTCCTTCAGATGATGCCATTTTGGAATGGAGGTTTATTCTCAGAATGTAGATGTGATTAGCTTGCTCTGAAAGTATGGGTATCTTCCTCGCTCACCCAAGATACTATTTAAACCAATGTTTTTAGTGCTTGTATTCCTCCTTCTGCATGTAGGATAAGATTAACAGTGAGATTTTTCAATTATAAGTTAAATTGCTTGGATAGTCTTTTGATATCTTGAATCTCCCTTTTATGTGTTTAAATACAGTTTACAACTATAGCTGTGTAGAAAACAAGTAGCTAATATATTTAACAAGGGTTACAGGCCATTTTGTGCTTATCCTGGAAAGCTGCTTCTGGCTGTAAGTCTGTGTTTGGGGTTTTTCTCTATTCATCTGAATTATGTTTTATATAATTATATAAAATGTCTGTCTAGGTCAGTAGAAAATAGCGGTATGTCACTGATACTGGATTACTGCAAATGTATGTATTTTTAAGTTTCACTTATGAAAACATTTTTTTCTTTTGAAACAAACACAATCTACAGTACTATCTGAATAATTCAAATTTGCCCACAGTGTCAAGTACACAAGAGTCTGGACTTCAGAGCATAGTTGGAAATCAGAGAAGCATGAAAAAAAATGAATCTGGTGAAGGTTCTTCTACTCTTACCAGACTTTTGCTTGGGTAATGTCTTGATTTCTTATTTAATTTCTTGAAACATCATTTGAACTAAAACCAAATATACACTACAGTGTTGTGGCTTGGTTTTTTTTCTTGCTTTCAGGGAAGAGAAGTCACAGGAAGCTGATGCCCTTGTTAGTTACCCCAATCCATTAAGACCACTAAGCAAATCGAACCAGGTAGAATGTGTAACATTTTGCTTCAGAATCTTAAACTTTTAAATCTTAAACTTTTCATTCTGTTTCATTCTGTTCATCTGTTAACTTTCACTTTTCTTAGGCCTGCCCCTTTGGGAGGGTTCCTGTTAAACTAGTAGCTGATGCGGGTGATGATGTGCAGATGACAGATATCCCACTTACAGCTAGTGTTATGAAGAGGTATGGTTATTGTGTTTGCTACAGCACAACAGATTATAATAATCCTTTTCAACAGTGTTTTTACTGGGTAACGGAAATGTCAGGTGTTAAGAGTGTTAAAACTGATCTAAAGATTATTGACAAGTAGTCATTATAACTGCAATAGGTATTGCAATAACCTACTTGCTATCTTACTACTTAGATTCTTTGTATGAAAACATGCAAAGATCAATTTCTTATTCTAGCTAGTCAGTAGGCTCTAAAGAAATGGAGACTAAGAAAAATTTGTTAAAAATAATTTTTTGTATTCCAGTTTCTCAAACTAAAAATAAATCTTTATTTTTAACATAATCCATACAATGATTGTATTAAGTGGTTATGCTTATTTTATTGTAATAACTGTTAAGCAGTAGAAGAATCCACCAATTAAAATAGCACTTTGCTATATGTTACCTGACTGCAGTTGAAAGTAAACAGAGGAGAAAGCTTCCCCCCCACCCCAATGAAGTCTGTTATGCTAACTTCCTTCCTCTCTTATTGATGTGTGGTTAAATTTATGCAGAAATAGGAACTGTGGTCAGAAATGCATAACCAGAGTGAAGACTGCATACTTAACCTCTCAGATTCAGTATTCCAAATCTATGAAAGTAGTGGGATAAGGTAATTTCATGTAATAGTATTGTTCTGCAAGTATTTAAAAACTCACTTTGGAACACACCATTGGGGTTTAGGATCCTAGCCATAGATTATTACCATTTTCTATGGAAGACAACCAATTAAGTCATCTGTTGTTTCTTAGAATGATGGTGGCTTTGTTACATATTTTTTGTATTGTTTCTCACTTGGATGTCAGTGGACCTGCTGTTCTGTGTATTTGAAACTTGTAGCCAAAAACCTTCATGCAGCTGCCTTTTTCATCACAAAAGGTGATCACGAGATTATATGTTGGCATGTGATGTAATTAATGTTATTTCAATAGGCAAGTATCCAGCTCCAAGTGTACAGCCTTCGTTTCACCTTTTCCACCACCAGAACCAAAATCTAGTGGGGGTGATTCATATGACCTGAGAGACTTAAAGGTAACTTAAATCTTTTTAAAATAGATATAGGGAACTCTACTTGGCTGTCCTATGTCAATTCAAGAAAGAAATAAGGTAGAATTCTCCTTTATGTTAATCAGTTATGAATCAAAGCATTCGTTGTGGCTTTTAAATTTGAAAATTGTTATGCATAATCAGGCTTTTAAGAAAGAGCTTTCTCTGAACAATACATCTGATGGGAGAAATGGGGGGATGTTAAAAAAGTTATATGACATGAACAGATAAACATTTAGTCTTAACTACAGGAGCTTTCAACTGTAGTAATGAGTTTTATCATGGGAATTACTCTAGTCAATGAAGTCCATTTAATGTCTTCATTAAGTGCTCTATGGATCTGTAAACTATGGTTATTGATAAGAGATTAATTTTGAGCTGTGCCTTGCATTTTTGTCTGGTGTCCCTGTCCCTCGAAAGAAAATTCAAGAATAGAAAGTATTTAGGTCTTTGTTATAGAAGCTATATGTATGATGGAAATTCAAAGTGGTGATGGAATTTTAAAAATGGTGTTGGTAATACTTGTCTGTGTACCCTGCACTGTTTTCTGAAGCATATTTGCTTTGTTGTGTGTCGGTCATTAAATACCATAAGGAAATATTTTAAATATTTTTTTTGGACACTATTCTTGGGATTTCCTTTGATTCTTTTTAAGATACTTTTTGCTTTTTTTAGTCCTTACAAGAAAAAAAAATATTTTATGGTTGCAGATGCTGGATGAGAACAGCTTAGAAACGGCTGCCAGTTCAACAGTAACTCTCAAAACCAAAATGGATACAAGTCTTGTGATGAAAAGAGAAGGTAACTGTTAATGTGATATTTTAGTGGCTTGAAATAGAATAGACATTAAAAATTTACATTTCTGTATGTTTTTTAAAAAAAAGGGTTGATAAATAAAATTCAGAAAGTTACAAAGCTGGTCTGCTTGGAATTGAGGGACATTTAATTATAAGTTTGCTTTGGAGTGGTACCTGTGAAAATAATTTAAAAAACCAAAACACCATACAAACCAAAAACCCTCAACCACAGAAATTCTCACTGTCCGTAAGTGCAGGGTGCTGGGCTTGAATAAAAATGCCAGTGTATAGTGTTAATTCATTATGTCCTTAGCTCTTACAATACATGTAACATAAAAAGGCATTGAAATAGAACAATGTAAGGTTTGAGAGTTTTGCCAGTTTGAGTGTAGAAAAAATGTTGTGAGAGTATCGGATAGTAGTGCTAGTTTATACAAAAAAAAAAGTGGATGTTGGCTGAGAGAATTCGAACTAAGAATTATAATGTTCTTGAAGGATAGTCTGTTTAGCTTTTTTGAGACAGACTCAAATTATAGTAGTTTGCTTCTCCTGTGACTTTCCTTGTATATGTTCCTAGTTTACCATAGAGATGCCATAATTCTAACTTCTTTTGTTGGTACTGTAATCTGTGATTTGGCTGAAGTAAGCCTAAAAAGGTGAAACCATGACATTGCACTTTTTTCAAGTGAAAGACAAAGCTCCTGCAATTGTATGAATGCAGAACATCTGTGTCATCTGTTGCTTTCAGCACTGCTTTCTAACCTGTTTATGCATTAGTATATGAAACTAAGTGGCTTTTTCTGCTGCTGTTTACATATTAGAAACTATTTCTTATGTTAGGGTTGTTTGCATATCTGAATTATTTGCTTTTACTTCAGTAAGTTTTCTCTTGCCTTCCTTGGTTTCATCTGTTAAGTATCTGTTGTCTTTGGTCAGCTTCACTGCCAACTACTTCTTTAACATTTACTTCTAAATGTTAAATTTGTCACTGGGCATTTCTTAACTTGTTGTAATACAGTGTTTTACCATGGCATATGCATGCATCTTAATCTTTGGGCAAAGTATAGAATAAGTAAGTTTCTTTAGTGTCTTAGTTACTCTCTTAGGAAGTTTCCCAAAAGTATGAAAACACTTTGTCAAAAGGCAAATTGTTTGCATGTTTTTTCCTATGTTCTGCAAAAGAGCCGGAATTATTTTCACCATTCTTTCCATATACTCAGTACAGTCCAATTTATGAACTTGTACTAAATAAATGTGTACTCTTCAGAAGCTTATTAAATTTCAGTGTTGATCAAATGCATTGTTACACTTTTGATTACTGTAAATGCTCTTGCTTTAAGCAACATGGTGTTTCAGCCTTAACTGTATTGTAATTTTTAGAAATTTTATTTTTTAAAGAAATCTAAGATTTGCTATAATTTGAACGGCTGAGAATTATTGCATTATTAACATACTTTTTGGGAATAATTTTTAACTTATTTTAGAAACAGACATTTCTGGTGTATTCCAGAAATAATCTAAGCTCTAAGTATTTATCTAATGCATAGAGTTTGTGAAGTCACTTTATGACACAGAAATATTGGGGTGGTGTGAGACCACCTACTGTTGTTTTCTTCCTGGGAAATTTTACAAATAACTTGGATTTATAGCAAGTATTTCAGGGCTGGTAAAATTTAGAAAGTTACTACTAGTGACTTAGCACCAACGCTGTGAAATATGGAATACATGTACTAATCTTTTTACAGTTACTTGCCACTTTTGTGTTTCATCAGAAATATAGTTCCCTAGCCAGCTTTCTGATTTCTTTTCCCATTGAAGACATTAGGTGAAAATGTCTAATAATATTGCAAGAGTTGGATTTAGGATTATATACATACCTACCGTATTGTAGGAAAGTACAAGAGTTCATTTGGAAAATGGTGATTTTTCTCAACTTCAGTGTCCCCTCAACCCCCCAACGAAACCTTTCCCATTGACTTGCATTGGGAACAAGTGGGTTTCAGGTCATGCTTTCCCCGTTTGCTTCATGGAAGCTTACAGATGAGATGATAGTTGTAGTGGCTCAGTCCTTCAGTAGCTGAATTGCACTCAACTTCTGCTTAGCATGGGATACTGCTTTCGAGTCCTTTGAAAATTAAAGTGAGCATGTGAAGGAACACTCATAGGCTGTGCTATTTGCAGCCTGCTCTGCAATCTTCCACCAGTTCAATGTCCTGTTACCTATGCAGAAGGAATCATGAGATGGATCATGCCTTGTCCCTTTATGCCTCTGGCTTCAATCATTACACTGCATTAAAGGCTGCCTTTGTCACAGACAGCAGACTTCTAATTTGAAGTATTTTGATAAGCTTACCTTCAGTGCTTTATAAACCTGCTCAGTGTCCCAGGATGTAGTACAAATTATGAACAGGATCTTGTTCTGTGTGTTGAAGGGAACAGTTGGATCTCTGTTACTGTTACAGTAAGATTTTGAAGAAGTTGCTGTGTTACTACACTGAACTGAATATGAATCCTGAAGATTACATTAATGCCTTTTAATGCCTGATTCCAGCAAGTCATCTGTGTTCATTTATTCCGATATATAATTTTTTTTCTAGAAACTCTTGAGATAAATCTTCCAGAAACTGTTTCAAGTTCTAAATATTGTCTTTTTAATAATCTGATATTTTCAGAAAATAAAGTTCAGCATCAGGAGCTGAAGGTACAAGAGCTAAGGAGTCTGGAAAGTCAACAGCAACAATCTAGTTCTGATGAAAGCTGTAGAAAGCAGTTGGATCAGATTAAACTAAACTGTGTTAGCAGCAGAAAAATGTGGCCGGTTCAAGAAGTGACACAGAAAAGCTGCCATAGAGAGGTAAAGTAACAGGAATTAGTGGTTTTCTAGCTGCAGGCAGCACTCACATGTTAAAAAATGGTTTTCAGTATTGATAATTATGGCTCCTTGTATGGAATAATATTTTGCTTTGTCCTCTGTAGGGAAAACAATCAAGCCTTGAAAAATCTGGTCATCCTGTTTCAAAAGGAGTATCGCCACCAGATGCTGTTTCTAAGAAAAGTGATCTATCATATGTTTGTAGAACACCAAGCACCACGTGTAATGACTATATGGACTGGTAAGCCACTTCTTTGAGCTGCATGCACATGAATAGTAGTTGATCTCTGGAAACACTATCAGTTTTTAACAGGTTTTCTTAAGCTTTTCTGTTCAGATACCAAGCAAAGTTTCAGAATGCTTCCAACACTTTGTCAAGTGCCTGACTTTAAGATTCAGGTTGCATTTAGAGAACTCTGTCTTCACAGAAGCACAGAATCATCAAGGTTGGAAAAGACCTTGAAGGTCACCCAGTCCAAACATTAACCTCACACAACATAACCTCACCTTCCCAACTCCGCCAGATCCCTCAGTGCTGGGTCAACCTGACTCTTAAACCCCTCCAGGGATGGGGACTTCACCCCTGCCCTGGGCAGCCCATTCCAACGCCCAACAACCCCTTCTGGAAAGAAATACTTCCTAAGAGCCAGTCTAACCCTGCCCTGGCACAGCTTGAGGCTATTCCCCCTTGTCCTGTCGCTTGTTCCTTGGTTCAAGAGTCTCATCCCCACCTCTCTGTACCCTCCTACACCCAAGTAGTTGTAGAGGGCAATGAGGTCCTATCTCCGCTTCCCTGTCAGCTTTTCAGCATTTGGAAGTATGTCATCAAAACAATAAGTCCATGTTACATCATTTATCTCTTTCTCTGATACTTGATGCATTACCCTTTCTTTTCAATGCCTTTTTTTTGTGGCTGACAGGCCTTTTAGATTGATAACTCTATATCACTCTGGTTCCCATGATGCAAGTGTCTGTGGGTATTATCTTTTAAAAAATAGTGTAAGGGATCTAGAGGCTTGCAGAATTGAGTGCCCAAGTTTGGACGTGCTAGCATTTGTTTATCCATGCAGTCTTAAATTAGGCATAAACATCTGTGCTTAGGTATAAACCTCTGTGCATGTGTTGATAAATCTTTCCAATTATATGATAACTTACTATTCTTGTAGGTCTCTAGGATCAGTTATATAGGTCAAGCCTGTATGATAAGCACTGTCCCTGTTGGTAGGGTCTCTGACTCTAGTTGTAGAATTTAAAATATATGTAGTGAATGAAGCACATCATCTAATGATGGAACTTGGTATGAGTAGTCCTTGAGTAGATTCTGTTCTTGCTTCTTTCAAACTTTGATAATAAAAACACTTTTAAAAATTAAATACTCATTACAGTATCTATGGCGCATGGTAAATATGCAGAACTGAGTGCTTTTGTGTTCAATGAGAACCATGCTTTTGACTGGTTTTGAATGTTTTTTCAAGCTTTTTTGACACTTTATTCTCTACTGAAAAAATCCTAGGCATATAAATTCAGTTCTGATTTTAGCATCAGTTTCTGTAAGTACTGTGTTAGAAAAATATATTTGGTAATGTAACTAAATATATGGTAGATACATGAAGAGAACAAATAAAAAACCAAAGGATTTCTTACCATTTTTAGTTTTCTTAAACACATGCTCATATACAGTGTAGCTAAAACTTTTAAAGAAAAAATTTCTCATGATTGCCTTGAAGTTGTTTGTCTCAATATGCCTAGTTTATAAAAAAAAGTGTCCATTTAAAAAGGTTTTGAATGAAGAACAATAAGCTGAAGAAAACTAACTGTGGCTCAGACTATTTTGTTGTTTTATGGTTAGCCCTTCTAATTAAATGGTGCTTTCATTTTCCAGTTTGTGGGAAGTGCCAGCTAATTAAATCCCCATATTCAGATACTAGTTACTGTTTTAAGCTATAATGTACATAGAAAATATTTCTTAAGTGTACTTTTAAAGGACTTATAAGTCAAGAAGTTCAAGTATTAATGCTAATTATTGAATGTCACTGAGGCTTGGGCTTTTGCTAGTCAATAGTGTTTAACTTTAAAGAAGCACTGAATATTTCAACTTTTGTTAGAATAATCCTAGAAACACAACTAAATGCAGATATTATCTGTAATTTAGTTTCAGAACGCCAGTTGTAAAGAATGACGTTCTACCAGGATGTCAGATTTCTACTCCCTACAGCCAGCTTCCATATTTCCTATCACATACTCCAGTGACTCCATTTCAAAACCAAGTTGGCTTGCAGGTAACAACTTGAGGTTGTCTTCTGCCATTTTTCAGTATGCTTTTTCATTGCAAACTAAGTTAAATATATGCATGTATGTATATATTTTTTCTAATCTAAAGTTACTGTTCATCTTTCTGGATGAGTAATGGAAAATAGTTTGTATTGCTTTTTCTCAAAATAATATTTCTTCATGTATGTCTGAATTCAGGTAAAATAAGTCAGCTCTTGCAAAATCAGTTTACTTGTATCAAAATCCTGAAGCCTTTGTATGAGATCTCTAAGCCTTTTCAGATCATGCGTCGTGACAAAAGCAAGAACTAGAGTTACTCTTTTTGTTCTGCTGTGCTTTTATAGTGGTACTACCCACTACAGTGGAGGACCCATAAAGAGAAGCAGCATGTGTTTAAAAAACATAAGAGTCTGAGGGAGGTAAAAGAATGAATTACATTCCTCTCCATTTTGTTAGATTTCACAAATTAAGATGCATTTGTAGTGGCCTGGAATCATGTAAAAATGAATTACCTTAGATGGATTGCACTTTCAGATAGGAATCTTCCCAGTTGTAGATAGAATCGCAGGATAGGGTTAAGCTTCCTACTGGAGGATTAATATTTGAAAGTTTGTGGCTGTTATACAGCTTGCTGTAGCAGGTACAGGCAATATAGGCTGTTTCAGAGTCACAGCACTGAAGTCTGCTAGCTAGTAGTTAGCTTCAAATAAAAGAGGTGATTTGAGTACAGCTCTAAGTTGCCTGTTGTAACTGAAATTCTCTTAGTCTAGTTTCCAACATTATCTGTAAAGAGGGAGGTGTCTCTAATGGTCTGAGAAGTCTTATTAAAGAACACCCTTTTCTTGATTTGCAGTGTGAAGAGCATTGGTATCTGCTATAAGGGTACAATGAATTTACATGCTAAGTGATATCTTTATACAAATAGTTTTGCAATTAGGGTCTTTAGCTTTCGAGACAAACATATCTAAAATTTAGCTGTAGTACCCTTTATTGTTCAGAAAGACCAAGACAACTTAAAGCATGTTGACTTAAGAAGTTAAAACTTCTAACAAGCTCTGCTGCATGTATACCAATAGTTATTTTCCTAACTTTTTCTCTGTGTACACAGGTTCCAGCTTCTATACCGTCAAATGAATGTCTTGCCATCAAAGGAAGAGTTTATACAATATTGAAGCAGATAGGTAGTGGAGGTTCAAGTAAGGTAAGATGCTCTTTTATGCTCTAATAGATGTACTAGTAGTTGCATTATAAACATACATGTTGAAGTCATCTAGTAAGGAGTGCCTAGCACTACCATGTACAAAGTGTTTAGTGTCCCAGATAATGTAGAAACTTGTTGTTTTAGTGTTATGTTTAGACTTTATCCTTCATGGATGCAGAAGAAACACAGTGCACAAATTAGATTTGGTACAGTGCTGTTTTATCTGAGTCTTCAGATAGCTTGCAGTAATAACTGATTTGATATATTATTATTATGAAAATGGTGCTTCAGTTATTACAGGATGTTAAGCACAGTACTGTTCACTGCAGTGGAGAAAAAGTAAAAGCAGTGTCTAGATAAAGGGGGGATGTTGAAGTGAAGAATAAACAGTGAACAGAAACTCTGAACAGATGTGGTCAGAATACTGAACAGAAGCTACAGAAACAGGAAGAAGTGATCACCCAATTCTCATGAGTGTATAAATCTCACTTAAATTGGTAAACAGGGGTGGGAGCCCAGTTCCTTTTGTCTTCTGCTTGAAGGCAGATTGTGTGCTCTTGAAGATAATTTCTATGCTGAAGTATTAAAATTCACATTAAATTCAGCTCTTCCAAGAGGTGTGCTGCAGTATTACTGTACATCTTAATTTGAGAAGCTGTTTAGGACAGTGTGAATACATTGTTGGGAAATGCATGGCTTGTAAGGTTGATTGGAAGTTCCTGAAGTGGATAGACCATCCCTTACTACTTCAGTAATATGTGTGAGAAGTGGAGTTTAAGTCTGACTGAAGGGGTGAGTGAACTGCTTTTTATAAGGCAATTTGGGTTCATAGGTACTTGGGAAACAGTTTTAGCATACCTCTTGTTCAGAAGATAAAGAATTCTAGCAAAACCAACAAACAGTTTTGAGTCAAATTTCTCTCTGTCGGCTTTCTTCTGTCTCTCACACCTTTGTTTTACCTGTATGCTTCTGTGTGTGAAGACTGTATTACTAGTCACGGGGACAGTCTTAAGAATTTCTGTAAGGGAAACTTGATACATGCATGCATTTGGTTAATCTTCATTAGCGGCCTATGTAGAACTTGGTCTGCAGTGCATGGAAAGTGAAGTGGTTATTTTTAGTTAATCTGAGACATGCAGGGCAATATAAATTTATGGTTAAGTTAAAGTTATAGTCAAGTTAAATGACAGCATTTCTAATAAAAACATTTTTTAAAGTGTGCTTTTGACTTCCCCAAAATTGCCTAGAAAGCTTAGAGCCAGTTTTAGAAGTGAGTATCTAATCTTATCCTTAAATTCACTCCACTAAATCCTCTGTTTTGTTTTAAAGCATGTATTTTCCCAAACTGGCTTTAGATGCCTGAGATGGTATTTAAGATTGACCTTGTTGTATAGCTTTTCAATTTTTTAAACTAAAAATATGTGATACTTGTCATTTATAGCATTAGAATTTTGTTCAGAAATCCCCATACGTCTAGATTTCAAAATTTTTAACAATCACATTCATTTAGACCTGGCTTATATTCATGACGCTTTGTGCCTAGTTTTTTATTTTGGTTTGGTGTTTGCATATTCAGGAACTGACAAAACCAAAGTAGTACTGACCAGTCAAGCTGTGTGCTTTCTAGTGATAGAAACAGTCTCGGTGTGTTTTAAGAGATAGGAAATTGGTTTAAAATGTTGCGAGATCTTAAAATCATAAAATAGTTTTGGTTGGAAGGGACTGTTAAAAGTCTAGTCCAAATCCCCCTGCAGTGAGCAGGGACACCTTCCACTAGACCAGGTTGCTCAGAGCTCTGTCCAGCCTGACCTTGAATGTTTCCAGGGATTGGGGCATCTACCACTTCTGTAGGCAATCTGTTCTAGTGTTTCACTGTCCTCATTGTAAAGAAGACATTTTTTACATCTAGTGTAAATCTACCCTCTTTTAGTTTAAAACCATTAACCCCTTGTCTTATTGCAACAGGCCCTGCTAAAACATTTATCCCCATATTTCCTGTAGGCTCCCTTTAAGTACTGAAAGGCTTCAATAATGTCTCCCCGGAGCCTTCTCCATGCTGAACGACCTCCAATTCTCCCAGCCTTTTGTCATAGGAGAGGTGTTCCATTCCTCTGAACATTTTTGTGACCCTCCTCTGGACCTGCTCCAACAGGTCCATGTCTTTCCTGTGCTGAGAACTCCAGAGCTGGATGCAGTACTCCAGGTGGAGTCTCATGAGAGTGGAGTAGAGGGACAGTATGGCCTCTCTCAACCTGCTGGTCATGCTTCTTATGAAGCCCAGGATATGGTTGGTTTTCTGGGCTGCGAGTGCATGTTGCTGGCTCATGTTCAGCTTTTCCTACACCAGTACCCTCAAGTCCTCCTCGGCAGGGCTTTCCTTAATCACTTCATCCCACAGCCTGTATTGATACCAGGGGTTGCCCCAACTCATGTGTAGGACCTTGCACTTTGTCTCATTGAACCTCATGAGGTTCACATGGGCCCATTTCTCAAGCTTGTTTAGGTCCCTCTGGATGGCATCCTGTCCCTCAGGCATGTCAACTGCACCACTCAGCTTGGTGTTGTCAGCAAACTTGCTGAGTGAACTCAATCCCTGTCACTGTTGAAGATACTAAACAGCACTGGTCCCAGTACAGACCACTGAGGGACACCACTGGTCACTGACCTCCATCTGGACATTGAGCTGTTGGCCACTGCCCTCTGGATGTGACCATCCAACCAATGCCTCATCCACTGAACAGTACACCCATTGCACCAACGTTTCTCCAATTTAGAGGGAAGGATGTTGTGGGGGACCACGTCAAAGGCCTTATAGAAGTCCAGATAGATGAAATCAGTAGCATTTCCCTTGTCTGCTGAGGTAGTCCCTTCATCAGAGAAGGCCACTAGGTTGGTCAGGCAGCCCTTGCCCTTGGTGAAGCCTGTCAAGACTGTCTTGAATCACCTCCTTGTCCTCCATGTGCCTTAGCACAGCTTCTAGGAGGGTCTGTTCCATGATCGTCCCAGGCACAGAGGTGAGGCTGACAGGTGGGTCATTCCCAGGGTCCTCTTTTCTACCCTTCTTAAAAATGTGTGCAACGTTTCCCTTTTTTCAGTCACCAGGGACTTCTGACTGCTGTGACTTTTCAAATATCATGGAGGGTGGTTTGGTAACTACATCAGCCAATTACCTCAGATCTCTGGGATGCATCTCATCAGGTTCCATAGACTTACCTCAGGTGATCACAAACCTGATCTTTTACAGTGGGAGAGACTTTGCTCCCCCAGTCCCTGTCTTGCAGTCCATCCATTTGAGAGGTGTGGGAAGAGAGGTTGCCAGTGAAGACAGACAAAACATTGGTGAGTCTGTTAATCCAGAAAGTAGTAAATTGAAAAGAATAACAGAATAGAATGACAATAGAATATTTCAGTTGGAAGGGACCTACAGTAGTCATCTAGCCCAACTACCTGGCCACTTCAGGGCTCACCAAAAGTTAAAGCGTGTTATTAAGAGCATTGGCCAAGTGCCTCTTAAACACTGAAAAGCTTGGGGCCTTGACTATCTCTCTAGGAAGCCTGTTCCAGTGTTTGACCAGCCTGTGATTAAAGAAATGCTTCCTGATGTGAAGTCTAAACCTCCACGGTGCAGTTTTGAACCATTCCTATGCATCCTGTCACTAGATAACAGGGAGAAGAGATCAGCACCTCCCTTTCAACTTCCCCTCCTGCAGAAGCTGTAGAGAACAATGAGGTTGTCTTTCAGCCTCCTCTTCTCCAAACTAGACAAACCCAGAGTCCTTAGCTGCTCCTCAAAAGACATTCCTTCCAACCCTTTCACCAGCTTTGCCTTCCTCTGGATGAATTCAAGGACCTTCAGATCCTTCTTACATCGTGGGACCCAGAACTGCCCAGAGTACTCAAGTTGAGGCTGCACCAAGGCTGAATGCAGCAGGATAGTCACCTCTCTGACTGGCTGGTTATGCTGTGTGTGATGCACCCCAGGATGTGATCTGCCCTCTTGGCTGCCAGGGCACACTGCTGACTCATATTGAGCCTGCTGCCTATCAGTGCCTCCAGACCCCTTTCTGCAGGGCTGCTCTCCAGCAAGTCCTCTCCCAGTTTATACTTATGTCTGGGGTGACTCCCATCCAGATGCAGAAGCCAGCATTCGTTCTTGTTAAATTTCATGCCATTAATGATTACTCAATGCTCCAATATATCTAGATCCCTCAGCAAGGCCTCTGGTCCTTCAAGAGAGTCAACAGCACCTCCCAGTTTGGTATCATCAACAGACTTGTTAACAGTGCATTCAACTTCTGCATCCAGATAATTGATAAATATAATGAACAGAACTAGCCCTAGAACTGAACCCTAAGGAACACTGCTTGGTGACTGGTCGCCAGCTAGATGTAGCCCTATTTGCTACAACCTTTGAGTTCTGCCATTGAGCTAGTTCTTCACCAAGCACACTGTGAATCCACTCATTCCACAGTTGGAGAGCTTGTCTGGAAGGATGTTGTGAGGGACAGTATAAAAGCCTTACTAAAATACAAGAAACCTACATCTACTTCCTTCCCTTGACTAGGTGAGTGACCTTATCATAGAAGGATATTGAATTAGTTAAACAGGATTTTCCTTTTGTGAACCCATGTTGACTGTGCCTGATGATTGTGTTGTCCTTTAAATGCTTTTTAATAGCATCCAGTATGATCTCTGTAACTTTGCTGGGAACTGAGGTTAGCCTAACAGGTCTGTAGTTTACTGTCTTCCCTCAGATCCATCTTGCAGGGTGGAATAACACTGGCTGACTACCAGTCAGCAGGGAACTCCAGGAAGAAAAGCTTGTGCTGGCAGTGTACAGTCATAGGATTGAGGTAGGATGGAAGGGATCTCTGCATGTCACTTGGTCCAATGGTCTGCTTAAAGCAAGGCCAAAATAGAGCAAGTTGCTATCATCTTTTGCAACTGAATTTAGAGTATCACAAGGGATGGAGATTTCACAGGCTCGCTGGACAACCTGATCTCCTCTTTAACTACATGGTGGTGAAAGAAATTTTCCTATATCTAACTGGAATTTTCCTTCCTGTTAGCTATGTCTCTTGCCTCTCATACTTTGATGTTCAAGAGGAGTCTTTTTTATATGTTCTCTTTAAGTAGCTTAAGATAACAATAAGCTTCCCTGCAGCCTTTTTGTCTTAAGACTGAATGGACGTAGTGCTCTCAGCCTCTTATGTGCCATGTGGTCTAACCTCCAAATCATCTTGGTGTGACAGAATGGATGTGGAGTGGCAGGACAAACCCTTAGCTTTGTGGGAGGTGTTATTTTGCATGCTAATCACTTCAGTCTTGCAATGACATATACCCAGTGCAATGTTATGTGGCACCAAGATAGCTTTTGATAGAGCGTTGTTTCTGTTGTAACTGGTGGCTTCTTTCTTAATTTTTCTTCATGCTGACTTGTATGAACTTCTTTGTAAATTTAGTGTTGCTTTTTCCTTTTGAAAAGGTACACTTTGAAATTCTGGCTGCGGTGACATGAAGGATCATAGTAAATCAGAACTAGAATTGAATGAAGTTACTAACTGATACTGTTTTGCAGGTGTTTCAAGTACTGAATGAGAAGAAGCAGCTGTATGCTGTCAAATATGTGAATCTAGAGGAAGCTGATCAACACACTGTTGAGAGCTATAAGAATGAAATTGCTCATTTGAGTAAATTGCAGCAACATAGTGATAAGATCATCCGTCTTTATGGCTAGTGAGTAAACACTAATTATATTAAACGGTATCTTTTTATATAAAGTGTCTTAAATTTTAACGAAAGTATATTTATTTCTAGTGAAATTACTGATCATCATATCTACATGATAATGGAGTGCGGAAATATTGATCTTAATAGCTGGCTTAAAAAGAAAAAAAACATTGATCCATTGGAACGAAAGAGCTATTGGAAAAATATGCTGGAAGCTGTTCACACAATCCATGAATATGGTATGCTTATAGGTTATATGGCAGAGATAATATGAACATGTTTAAGTTTTGGAGGTGGTGTTGCTCTTAGTTTTGGTGTAAGCCTAGTGATGTTCAAAGATGGGTATTTACTGTAAAAATTTTAGTGAAACAAAAGATGAGTAAGTCTTGATGCAGCAGTAGAATGACTTTGTTAATTCAAAGGGATCTCCAAGTATCAACCATTTCATAATGTTTATTTCCTTGCAACAGACATGAAATAGTCTTTTCTGTATTAGACCACACTGTATACTCCCTGTACTGCTTGTTCTCCATTACATGCAAATGAAGCCGCTCGTTGTCTCCAAATAATCTTTGACATTAATGACAGCTCTTACACAGCTCTGTTATCTTTACTTTGACATAGTGTTTCAGCTTTTTCTCATAGTTCTTCAGGCCTTCCTTTCATCTTTACCTATGTAATTGAAATGCATGCATCTGTATTCTGTTTGCCTGTATAATGTGAGGGAGAGAGAAGATTTGAATCCTTTTCCTATTTAAGAAAAAAAGTGGAGACCTATACATACAGCAGGGAGCATGATCTCATTACAGCACAAGAACACTAGAACATTCAATAATATAGTAAGACAGTGAAACCTATTAAAACACAGCCTACTTGCTATGTGATGTGTCCTTCAAACAAACAATTTTGCAAAATACAAAGATGGATTGGTTGATTTTTATGGATAATAACCAAAATTAATAATAAATCATGTAAGTAGGGTTTGCGAGAAGTCACTTGTATGTAATCCTCAGTGAATGGTACCTTTCACATCAGGAAGCAGGAAACATCAGATTAAGAAATATATTTCTCTTAAGTACCTGCTTATCTTTCTCTTAAATAATCAGCTACAGGAGGTGACAAGCCATTGAATTGCTCCAAAACAGCAGTTCAGTATGGCCGTGTGCACGTAGAGCTAGAGGGCCTGTCCCTAACTGAGAGATACTGTGCAGCTCAAGTCTCTTGGAGCTATTTTTAGGTGCCTGCAGATTTGAAAAAGTGAACTCAAGCTATAAAGTCATGCAGGTCTTAACTGTTTAAAAAGAAACGGAAACACTTTTATGAAGTTAGCAAAGAATGTTTGTTTTGGGCCAGGTCAATCTGATCTGCATCTTCTTTCTGCAAGGATTACTGGGTGTTGAGCAATAAAAAAAGCCATAGTAGTAACTTAGATGGACTAAACCTGGATTGAATCTATTTTGCAGGCATTATTCACAGTGATCTGAAACCAGCAAACTTTCTGATAGTTGATGGAATGTTAAAACTAATTGACTTCGGCATTGCAAACCAAATGCAGCCAGATGTGACCAGCATCATTAAAGATTCTCAGGTGAAATACTTTGGGAAAATCTATGTACCCTTTTCTTTGAAGTGCTATAGTACTTGCTGGTTATGTTGATTAGCGTAAGTTAAAGGAATACTGAAATTTTATGTTGAAAGGTTTTATATACATAAAAGTATCCATAGAAACAAATTTTTACATGTTTTTACTGAATGGAATAACAGTGGCCTTCAGCCTTCATAGAAACAAATTTTCAAGATGCTTTTTAGTGTTTTGAGACAATCATTTTATCACTTCACTAAAGAAATATTTTTATATTTTTATGGCTAGGTTGGCACAATTAATTATATGCCACCCGAAGCGATAAAAGATATGTCTTCCTATGGAGAAAATGGGAATTCTCGATCTAAGGTAACATATCCTTTTTTTTCTGTTCCCTTCATGTTAAGAAGAAAGTAATTCAGGCATATATTTTAAGATTTTAGTTTTCTCAAAACTTTCCGCTGAAACTAGAACATAAAGAAATCCATTGTGCCATGATGACAGTGGGCAGAGATTTATTCCTTTCAGAGTTTATTCTTTTCAACTACCTAAAAGCATTTTGCAGATGGTATTTAGAAAAATATTAGTGCCGAATTAATGAATAAAATTGAAGCCAAAACAGATGCACAGGTTTGGGTGTTGGAGAAACTGATAATATAGTGATGAAAGCTAAACTGATAATAAATGCAAAAATATTTTTAAAAATCCATTTTATGGAGCAGTATAATCCAGTCTTCTATGTTATCAGTGTGAATGGTATCGAACAGCAGTATAGAGTACAGTGAAATGCGTACAACCTTTCACGTAGAATCACAGACTATGTCAAGATGGAAGGGACCCATAAGGGTTATTGAGTCCGGCTCCCTTTTCACAGACATATCAGAGACTGTATTAATAACTAGTTACAAAAGTCTTTTGAGCATCTTAAGGGTCCACCATGCTCTGCATCCCTGACAAGTCGTCTTTTGCACTAAAATCACTTCAGGCTAGAGCTTTTAGGGGGTGTTTCTGAGAGGATATTCCATGGAGTCGAGAGAGAATCATTCCTCAGTCCCTTCTTGGTTGTCTGTTGTGCTGCTTATGCCCTTTTTGTCCTGCCAAAAATTGGTGGAGCTCTTATGGTACTGCTAGCTGCTACGCAGCTACATATTAGCATTCTGCATAAATAACCCTGGCTTAGAAATCCTTTTCTGAAAGCAAGAAAATCTGCTTTCTGATGTAAACCATTGATAGTATGTTTGCTTAAAAAACAAGGTATGATAATGCTTGTGTCATTGTCATTTTTGAATTTTAAGTGAGGGGCAGGTTTTGCAAGAAAGGAGTGATACCTAATAAGGTCTTTTATAATTTGATATGTTGTAGTATTTTAGAGGACACATGTATGAGTTCTGTGTATCCTATTCATTTCTCTATGCTACAGGGTACTGTGTGTTGAACTTCTTATAACTTCACCAGGGCAATGGAATGTGAATGGTGAAGAAGGTACTGAAGGGAAGCCAATGTGAAGGAATTTCACATTGGCAGTCAAACTTCAGTTAAGGAGTACATAGTTTTATGGAAGGGTATTAAAAAAAAAATTAAAAAATCCATATTCATATGTACGTGCATATACATACTCAAAGACTGTGACTTTTTAACAGTTTAATTGAAGTATTACTATTAAGTGAAACACAATCTGGTCTTTCTAAACACCAAATAGAATGTTTTTTAGATTTCTTTTAAGGATGATACTTTTAACCTTTTTTTATGTTTTTAAAAATTACATACAAAGTGCAGACTTGTTCTGGAGCTCTGCTCATTTAAGCAAAACTCTAACCACTGCTGCTGGGAGATGGGCTTTCTATGTGCCTCTTCCCTCACCCTCCTCCTCTTCCCCTACTCCCCCAACCTTATGTGCTTTTTTTTAAAGTGCTTCAGCTTTAACAGGAGAAGTGGAAAGCCTTCCTGTAAGGAACAGCCCAGGTGTGGTGTTTGAAGTCTGGATCTGAATCCTTTAAACGCAGAGGAACTGAACTATGGCTTCCCGCTTTGGGGACATTAGCTGTAATGTTTGACTGGTTTCTGGATTGAATTAATTTAGTATGTTTTCAGTTGTATTTACTCATAAATCCAAAATTAGAATCCTGCTGTTCAACTTGTTAAGGACTATCTTTAATTGTTAAAATAAGTTGATTTTCAAAGATTATTAATAAAAATAGCTTTCTTACGAAATACTAGTGAATGAAGCCACGTTACTGTCTTAGCAGATAATGGCATGCTGTCCAGGTGATTTTGTGTGATTAGTTATTAAGGTCTGTTACCTGGTGTAAAATAGATACACTGTTAAGTTTAAATGACTGTACAATCATATGATAAACCGACTGAAGGGACAGTTCCTTAAGTGAGGAGTAATGTTTTTTTGTATTTTTATTTAGATAAGTCCCAAAAGTGATGTGTGGTCATTGGGATGCATTTTGTACTGCATGACATATGGAAGGACTCCATTTCAACATATAACAAATCCAATTAATAAACTGCATGCTATTGTTGATCCTAGTTATGAAATAGAATTTCCAGATATTGCTGAGAAGGATCTTCAAGATGTGCTAAAGGTAACTACTCCTTAAGATTCATTTTTAGTCAAATAATGATAAATTCTTTATTTGAAGCATATTTTCTTAAACTGAATGAGTTGTGCCTGAGAAACTTGTTTCACAAATAGATGCTTACTGCTACTTGTACAGGCTTTCTTCCAAAAGAATACTTAAGCTAGAGCTGCTTCATATAGTTTCCATAATAAAAGTCTACTTTCAGCTCAGTAGCAAATAAATACTTAAAGCAGTCTGGCTTAACTCCTTTGCCTGAACAACCCCAAGTAAATACAGTAGCTTTTGTACTTGCCATCCATTTCCCTCACTGTACATATTTGCAATTTTCTGAAACTTGGCTTGTGCTTTTACTCAAGCCCTAGCTGGTGTTGCTCAGCAGGTAACAAACTGAAACCCAGAAACGCTTATCCCCCTAACTTTCAAATCTCGGTCTCATTTTATGTCGTTTGGTATAAAAGGATATTGTAGGTTCTGTTCTTCATCTCCTCCAACATTGCTGCTTAAGTAAAACAGGTTACCAAACTTTACTCTTAAGATAATTGCTAATGAAGGCAGTTAGGTTAATCCGTTACTGTATTGAGTTGAATCTTTCTGAATATGTAGTTTGGCAGTAAGAAGTTCTGACATGCATCTACAGGGTCTTATAGTGATCCTCGCTATTAATTCTTAGAAAAATTCTTAATTTATAGGCAAAGCATTCTTCTTTTTTCATTTGCAGCATTGTTTAATAAGAAATCCTAAACAAAGAATATCTGTTTCGGAGTTGCTGGTACATCCCTATGTTCAAATTCAAAGTCATTGTCAAACAGGTAGGTTTATTTTAAAAAATGCTTTTATTTAATATTTATAATTCCATTAAAGCAGAAGATTTTTATATGTACATCCTATTTGCTAGTGTAACAATCTGTTCTGTTTGGTGCCTATGTTTCAGAAAAGACTTGGGTATTTTATTTAAACCTCTTCCAAACTCCTCTGGTAATTTATATGTAGTTGTCTATAACTTTAGCATAATTTAAAATTATGCTAAATAATGCTTTTGCTAAAATAATTATGCTTAAATTATGCTAAATTATGCTTAATTACAAATTATGCAGGTGTTCCACATGCAAAAGGAACAACAGAGGAAATGAAACGTATCCTTGGCCAGCTGGTTGGCTTGAATTCTCCCAACTCTATTTCTAGAGCTGCTAGGGTGAGTAAACTTTCTATTTTGTACGGTAGTGCCTGTTCATGCAAACAAAGGTTAGAATGTTTGGTAGTGAAAGCTGAAGTTAAATACATCAAAGCTTTAACCACAGGTGAAAAAACGTTATACATTGTAGTGCTTTTGTTTGCAAGCATGCAGAATCTCTCCACATCCTGAATGAGAAGGGTTGAAAGGATTATAGTAATCTTGATTTTTAGCCTTTTCTTTCCTGGTACAACTAAGCTGTCTTAAGTGTATCTTTATTTTTTTATTTGAAACAGAAATTTTAGTATGGAGTTTGGAATATTTCAGTATGTCATGACTACTTTCACGTGGTGATGTTTGTTATAAAAATATAGTTTGAATCCATGTGTGCTACAACTGTGTTCACCTGAATACTTGTGTTTTTATTAACTTTCAGACTTTATATGAACAGTGCAACAGTGGTAAAAGTCTTGATGTATCAGCATTTTCAAAAGTTGGGAGCCAAAAATCATGGACAACAAAATGATGTGCTACTGTTCAGGATGCATCAGATGTCTGGTCTGTTCACAATATTTTGTGCTGCTAGCTTTTAAAAGGACATTCAGCATAAAGTTCACATTTCTAAATGTTCTTTGTGTCTTCTGATAATGCTTTGCAGATCATTAAAAAGAATTTCATTGAATGCTTTTCATGGTGGGCTGTTTTACTCTGCATGCCACTTGGATTGAACAATGAAAATTGCTATTTGGTGATCGTAGTGCTGCCTAAGTAACAAAAACCATAGTGTCTGGAGTACAAAATCTTTCATGAGAATCTTCAAGTTCTTCTATCCACCTGAAGCTAAAGCAAAATTCTTAAAATGCTAATTGGTGTACATGAAAAGCATGCAAATATCTCTCGAAATATCTCCTATGACATATTGTGCTCTTCAGTCCTTTTCAACAAATACCTCTTGTATCCAGTTTTGATCATAACTAAGGAAATAACTGATCACATAAACAGAGGGCTTATGTTACCAGTAGATACCTCTAAATGTCACCCAGTTTTTGAGCTGTTGCTGTGGTTAAGTGGAAACATCAGGACTGTTCTGACGTTATATGAATAAAATGCTTTTGTTCTGTTAAAAATCATAGAGTAATGGTTTGGGTTGGAAGGGACCTTAAGGATCATGTAGTTCCAACCCCCCTGCCATGGGCAGGGACACCTTCCACTAGACCAGGTTGCTCAAAGCCCCGTCCAGCCTGGCCTTGAACACTGCCAGGGAGGGGGTAGCCACCAGTGCTCTGGGCAATAAGTTCCAGGGTCTCACCACCCTCACAGTAAAGAATTTCCCCTTTATATCTAATCTAAATCTACCCTCTTTTAATTTAAAACCATCACACCCCCACCCTCTACCTCCCCATCCTATTGCTAGACTCTGATAAGAGTTCCTCTGCATCTATCCTGTAGCCCCCTTTACTGGAAGGCTGCTAGAAGGTCTCACTGGAGCCTACTCTTCTCCAGGCTGAACAACCCAAACTCTCTCAGCCTGTCCTCATAGGGGATGTGCTCCAGCCCCCTGATCATCTTTGTGGCTTCCTCCTGGACCTGCTTGAGTAGGTCCATGTCCTTCTTACATTGGGGGCCCCAGAGTTGAACACAGTGTTGCAGGTGGGGTCTTGTGAGAGCAGGGGGGCTGAATCACCTCCTTCAACTTGCTGGCCACACTTCTCTTCATCTAGCCCAGGACACTGGCTTTGTGAGCTGCGAGCACACACTGATGGCTCATAGTCAGTTTTCCATCCAGTAATACCCCCAAGTCTTCACAGAGCTGCTCTCAATGCACTCATCCCCCAGCATGTATTTGTGCTTGGGGTTGCCCTGACTGACGTGCAGGACCTTGCACTTGGCCTTGTTGAACTTGAGGTTTGCACAGACCCACCTCTCCAGCCTGTCCAGGTCCCTCTGGATGACATCCCTTCCCTCCACCTTCCCTCCAGCGTGTCAACTGCACCACAGAGCTTGGTGTTGTCAGCAAACTTGCTGAGGGTGCACTCAATCCCGCTGTCTGTGTCTCCGGCAAAGATGGTAAACAGCACCAGTCACAATACTGACCCCTGAGGAACAGCACTTGTCACTGTTCTCTACTTGAACATTGAGCCATTAGCTACAACTCTAAGTGCAACCATCCAGCCAATTCCTTACCCACTGAGTGGTCCATCCATCAGATCCATGTCTTCCCAATTTAGAGACAAGAGTGTCATGTGAGACAGTATCAGATGCTTTGCACAAGTCCAGGTAGATGATGTCAGTTATTCTTAACTTATCCACCAATGTTGTAACCCTGTTATAGAAGAAATGCTACTATAAATCCAATATGCTCTTCAAATTCCAAAATAATAGAAAACTTATCAAGATTCACGATGGTCAGAAATTGCTAATTTGGATTTTTAAAAACATTAATACTTGGCCCTCTTTAAAATGTATTGGATGTAGCAGGACTTTTTTTCTACATGATTGTTAGTGGATCAGGTTTTGTTTTCACTGGGTTACATTTTTGGTGCAAGTGTACAAATTTTAAACTTAATTGAAAGATGTTAAAATTAATATCTAATCATTTTAAATTTTCAAACAAAAATCTTCCCTGCAGTTTCATGACAGCTGCCATGCTGTCCTTGGATACTTTCTAAAACATGGAGCTTGTCAGCTCTCTATCTTGATCAAGCATTTTGAATTAGACTGTTTCCCTTTCCTTCATAACAGCCCTGTGTACAAATAGCCCAACTTCATTATTGAAGTGACTCTTTGCTTGTTTATCTGCATGAATTAAAAGTATGACATATTGCTTGATCAGTGATGGAAAAAGTTGAAGGTCAGCAGGAAGGGAAGCTTTCCTTGACAATTTCTGCATGTTAGATTACTGACTTCATGTTTTCTTCCCTTCAGAAGTGCATAGAAACATTTTAAAGTCTCTGTGATAAACTTTGTGTTGTTTGTGTAACTCCTGTTGGGAAAAAATATCATAATGCTTTACAAAGGCCCAAGTTGAGAGAGGTTTGTATTTCATTGTAAGCATATATTTAAATATTTTTTTCCCTCCTGAGTATTTTTTTTTTCTTCATAGTGCCTGGATTCACAGGATTTAGGTTTTTACTTCTTGATTTTGGAACATTAAGTTTCACTGACGTCTTGCTACCAGTTGATATCTGTAGCTTTTATTTCCATAACTGGTAAAAGGTTTAGAGGATCAAATATCTGAGTGGTACAGTGCTACTGGTTACCTGTTAACTTGAACTGTGTCAGTACTGCGAGATCTCCATCAAGCCTCTGACAAAGGGAGATAGCCTATTTTAGGCTGCCAGGTTTTACTACCTGATGGAAGTATGATTATGCATCCAAGCACTGCAGCGCAAATCAAGTAAAGTTCTTTTCTTTCTGCCTCTGATGGAGGTGAATGTTCTTAGTATATTTGTCTGTATGCCATCTGGCAGGTCGATTGGGTCAGCTGTCATGGGGGATAAAAAAACTGGTCATTCTTGCTGCTGGAGACTTACTTGCTGCCTTGAAGATGCAGCTGGAGTCTACAAAATTCTTACAAATTATTTTGAGGATCATGAAGTACTGGGTAGTCATATTTGTTCTGAGGATGAGGATATTGTTCTTGAGAATTTTCAGTTTGACTCTATAAAAGGGGAATTCCTACTGCCTTTACCATCTGTATTAGCAGGGCTGAGATACCTTTATCTTCCCTTTGTCTAGGTAAGCTTATCTTATAGAAATAGACATATTGTACTGTATGCTCTATTCTACTGTCCCTTAGTGTTTACAGGGGATTACTCTTTGCTGACAACTTTTATCCTCGTTCTTATCTTCTATCCCTGGAAGATGCAGCTATTTCTGCAGTGATCCAGATGCAGAATGGCAGCTGTACTTTGCATGATTCTTCAGCTCACAACATAACCTTTTTCCATGCTTTGCACACTTAATTGGTGTCACTCATAGCACTATCATAATGTCTTGATCTGAAGTTAATAGCAAAGAGAAGAGATAGTTGTAAATACCTATTGCAACAGCAATATTGGAGGACTTTATTTCAATGTGTTCTTGCTATGTTTCCAGCCATTGATTTATCATTTTTTTGATGACTTTATAGCCTTACGAAAACTGAACAACTAGAGAGAATAGCACACACTTGGATCTCAAATGATACATGAAAATCAGAAGTATTGGAGTTTTTTTTTCCCAAACTTTATTAGCTTTGATTTTTAAATGAGGTTTTCAGAGTTTGGTAATATAATAAAAGCACCCCTTGATAGGTGGCTTGTTCTTCTGAACTTTGCTCTTAATTCTCTCATATTCAAAGCAGCAAAACAATTTTCTTCAAATAATTAATTTTAAAAGTTATTTAATGAAGAATAGTATTTCTGTAATTTTATCAGGCTTCTGCTTAATGTCTGTGTTTCAAAACACTAAATCCTCACTGCCTTCATATGCCAGTTAGGACTATCTTGCTGTGACAAAGCCAGTGCTTGTAAAAAAGCATTAATTATTCTGGGGTGTGGTGTTCCTGTGTCTGTTCAACACCTGCCCTCCTTTGTTTCAGATTAGCTGTGATTCTCTGGATTACACAGAGAGAGTGATTAGGAGTGGGAACTACTCCCAATACCAGCCCTTCTCCCCTCAGCCTGTTCTGGGAGGAGGACTGAATCAGGGGGCAGAGAACATGTGCTCACTGCAGTGATGGGGCACATGCAGGAACAGCACATCTCCCTTGTATGGGCAAACTTGGAATGATAACTTTGTTGTTGATCTAGTTGTTATTGTATGAAACAGATTATGGAGTCTCAATTAGTCATTTGTGGGGACGGGGGGCAGCTATCCCGTATTTCTAGGGACAAAGTTAGACTTGTTCCCTGTAATGGTCCTGGGGTTTTTTTTGTTTTTTTTTTAAATTTTTTAATCCCAGACTTTAGTACTCCTGAAGAAGTTGTATTTCAAGAATAATGAGTACATATGCTAACTGTACTTCACTTGTCTGTTAAATAAACATTAAGGTTATAAAGCCTGAAGCTACTGAAGAAAAAAATGTTAATGTTCTGCACCTTTCATATTCTAGACAGTTTGGGAGACTGCATATCTCATGGGAACTGAAAGACGGGGAAACTGGAGAGGGGGAAAAGAAGTATCAGCCTCTTCAGAGGAAAACTTGTGAAGAAAATCTTTACTCTGCAGAAACACCTTTTCACAAAGAGTTGTTATTGAAATATCTCCCAGATACTTGTCTAGTTTAGAGATCTTGAAATCTTTCTGCATAATTACTGTAATGTTATAATTGTTAACTTTCACTGTTTTGCTTCTTTTGTTAGTGTGGAATATGCAGAGAAGCAGTTCTATGTGCCTTATTTTTTCTGTTGTAGTCTATGGTTTATCAATCCTTTCTCTTATTTCGTGACTGCTAAAGAACTGACAGGGAGCTTATGAAAGAGGACTGTTGATGAGAGGCAGTGGGTTGTTATCAGTCATCCCTTTGAAATAAAAATTTTCCATTGCAAATGAGTAATTGATTTATACTCCTTCCCTACCTCAATGACACAAGATGTCTGCCTGCCTTTGCAGATGCCACTTACTGGCCCTCAGACTATTCCTATTGGATTTTTTGCTTTACAGACAACCGTCCCTTTTCAGATTCTGCTGGGATCTTAGAAGTGTGTATGAAGTACAGAATACTATGCTATAATAGGACAGAAAATACTAGTCTTAAATGTTGGGCAATATCATCTGATATTGAAATACAACTACATAAAAAGTGGAAAGGTAAATGAGAACACTTCAGTAAGTTCCCTTTAGTAATTCTTATTTGAAAAATGGATTTGGAAACTTTTAAATCTAATACATGTGTTCCTAAGAACCTTCACTCAACAGCTAACACTAAGAAAAGCCTAACTGCAGAAGGGTGACTTCCTTTTTTATTTATGGATGGGTATAGCATTACTCAGCCTGAACACCTGTATGTATACTTGAAATTCAAAAACTAAATAGAGTTAAAGTTTTGAAGGTTCTGCTCTTACAGTTTGTCTTGGTGTATCAACACCCAGAATTGACTCCTTGACAAATGTAAGAAAAGGAAGCTGTTCTCTAGCATGACTCCCTGCTCTCAGGACAGTTGTCCAAGGAGCAGGACAAGTCTATCCCCATGGCCCTGGAGGAGTCAGACTCTTGCTTCTCATCTGGTTTTGTTGAAGGCACTCTAAGCTCCTGCTGCTAAATGTGTAGCTGGGAGGGAAAGGAATGGTTAATCCTTAACAGTAGAGAGTGCAGAGCAGCATTTGTGAATTAAGTCTGAAGATAAGTGGTCAAATTGTCACTCTTTTTTGGTCCCTCCTAAGGGTTTCTGTTCTTTCTTTAAGCACCTGATAGCTATCTGTTTAGCATGAAACCACTAATTCTGGGAGTGGTGGCAAGTATCAAAAATAAAGCAGTTGAAGTAAACTTGACTTCTAGTCCACCTCTGAAGCATAGCTTACTCATGAGCTCCTCAGCAAGCATCACAGGCTAATCCTTGCAGGTGCCAGTTATGGCAAGTAAGAGTAGAAAACTATTTGCTGCTTCCTTCCTGTTGTTTACATTCTCATATTGCTTTGCTGCTCGCTCAGTTTACATGAGTTCTCAGCAGCAAGGATAAAACAAATACTGCTTTTTGTCATATTTGTATCTTGGACACTCTCATGGCTAAGACACAATCTGTTTCAGCTAAGTATAAACTACTGTTCCCTTCCTGCTCAATGCATATATCGTCTCCCAGCTTGGTTATCTGTGGGCACCTGCCGAGAGCACAAAGCCTGTCTGTCAGTGAGCTTGCAGAGTATGCCCGTTTGTTCACTGCCCCACATAAAGTAATTGAGAAATCTTGCAAGATAAAGGCTATAACGAATGGAGCAGGCAATGTAGCGTAATTACTTGTAGGGTATAGAAGTGTATGCCTGTATGGAAACAGAAGGAGTCTTTATACAAACTGCCCTTACGCTTTCATGGGAGTTGCTGAAATGAAACCCGAGATAAAAATCTGACTCCTCACCTCAATTCCTCCCCTTGACAGGTGGAACATCCAGAGCTAAACAGTGATGCAATTCCGAGATGCTAGCTCTAATCAGATGAATTGCTAAAATCCAGGCAGCTTTTGCAATGAGATATGACTAATTTAATAAAGAATAGTGGTGCCACTGTTTTAAACCCTTAATAAATATAAGGAAAAGGTCAGTGATTAAACAGATTTAGCCCATTGCTCTTGACTCTTACAGTATTGTAAAGATTTCAGGCTTGTCTTTGTACCCGCTTAATGTGCATGTTATGTGGTAAGTGCAAGTAAACATTGAATACCTGCTTGTTATGTGTTTTGTCTATCTGTCTCGAGTTTTTTTTTCCCTGTTTTACATAGCTGTTGAAAATCAATTAAAAATACAATTAAGTCACTATATTTAAGGAAATATGAATTAGTTTCTTGGCCTTCCTGTGGCCTTGAATAAAATCATAGAATAATTTAGGTTGGAAAGGACCTTTAGATTGAGTCGAACCATTTGCCTAACGCTACCAAGTTAAGGATAAAATATTTCTGTGAGTTTTTGCTCTTTACATTCCTTGTCTTGTTTGCTTACAGTTTGGTGGCAAGCTGTTTTGTACCATGAGTGCACAGTGCTTGTTGCATTTGATGACTGTAGGGGAATAGAGCTCTTGATGCTGCTATTGTTGAGGGGCGTCATGCCTTGAAATATTCTTAACAGGGGTAAAATCTGTCATCCACACGGTGTTTGGATGTTCATAGAATGGGGTTCTGTGGATGCACAGTTCTGTGCAGTAGAAGGCAGTGATGTCCCCTTCATGGTGGCTGAGGAGTTCTGGGCACTGGTGGCAGCTGCTGTGCAGTGGAGGGACTCGAGAGGCATCTGCCAGGAAGCATTGACCAAAATCTGTCCCTTATAGACTGAGGACGGTCTGCGGCATATCTAACAGCCTGGGGCCTTCAAGGCACTTAGCTGCTGAGATAGGGTTCTCAAATTCATGATAGTCTGGGTAAAATACAGCCAGATCTCCTTTTTGACAAGCCTGTGATGCCTGTTGGCAGGGGCAGTGGTTGCAGCATAATGCTTCAGTGAGTTTTACCGGTGAAAGTACCCACAGACAAGGTACCTCAGCAATAAGATAAGCAGGAGTTTTGGGTCTTGAGCAGGACTTGGGTACCTGACTCAAATGTGAGTGTCTGTGTAAGTCTCTTTCAGTCAGATCTTGGGACTTAGCAGAGGTCCACACTGCATAGGTAAAGACATTTCCGAACTGCAGTGATGCACGCTGGGTAATGCAAATATGAACAAAACTAGTTTTAGGGAGAGCAGATGATGATTCAAAGAAATCCTGGCCTTCAGCACCTTGTTTCTCTTGTTAGAGAATGCTCCTGTTGCTGCTCTTGCTTCTCATCTTCTCTGGGAAGAGAAGACTGACAGAAAAGCAAGGTAGGTTTCCTGCATCAGTGTTCAGAGCAGAACTCAAAGTTTTCATGTCAGAGCCTTACTTTGTAAGAGATTAGTCCAAGGAACTATTTCACACTGATGTGCCAGTAACAGCTTTTTAGGGCAGTTGATAAAATGAGCACTAAGCATTCTCCAGGCCCAAGCAGAAAGGCTGAAGGCGTCTGCAATAGCTGTGCTAGGCATTGTACTATGTGATTTTTTTCAAATTAGCCTTAGGAACACAAAATTGGAAGGCAGTAAACGTTATACTGGTGTTCAAGAGTGTTGTCACTTATAAATTAGAATGCCAAATATGACTTCATAATAAATAAATTGAATGGACAAAATATATTAAAGAGCAGAATGAAGGCGATACACGAATGGATATAACCTTGAGAGAGAATCTTCTGCAGAGAAATAATGCTTACAAATCTACTTGGTTCTTTCCAGTGAGTCCATGAGCATGATACTCATACATGGCATATTTGGATTTTCCAAAAGCTACTAATGCAAGCTCTTTCAGCAGCTCTTAAGCTAATATGCCAAGAGAAAGGAGAAAATTCTCAAGGGTAAACGGGTGGGGGAAAGCTATGGGATAAGTAGTTAGTCATTCCCACCTAAGGAAGATTATCAGTAAAGTAGGTCAAAGAACTGTGGTAATGCCCATTCCCAAGTGATCTTAGGGTTAAATAGCAGGTTTCAGAAAAATAAAACTTGGAGCTTCCTGTGGGAAAACAAGTAGAAGAATCTCATATTATTGATGAAATGGCAGAGGAAAGCCTACACTGACGACAGAACACAAAGGAATTCACATGGGAGGAAAGTATCCTAATATGCATATAACACAAGGGGCTTTGGAGTGGTATTTGGGGCAGGTGGTTCTACATTATGCATAGTTCTCTGAAAATACCTGCTCAACCCTTGTACTGAAGGAGCCAATTAGAATATTAATTATTGGGAAAGGAAGAGAACAAACCAAAATAGTGATGTGCTGCCATATAAATGTGTTTGGTTTGAATGCTGTCTGCAGTCCTTGAAAAGGGTCTAGTAAAACTAGAGAATATGGAGAGAGCCAGTGAAGGTGTCCAAAGATGTGGAACAACTTCCATACAAGACTGCAAGCTGTGTGACTCAGGAACCTATCACTCTGGCAGGGTGTTGGAGGGAAGAAAGAAATCAGCATTGCATAGGACTAGGAGCTGATGAAATGATCAGTCAGAATTTTTTCAACAGATGAAAGGAAGATACTGGGTTTAGTGTGCAAGATGTAATTATGTTTGAAATTAGGTTAGTGGGGGATATTGTGGAAGCCAAAGGTATAAGGGTGTTCACAGTGATTAGATACATTCAAGGAGGTTAGGATGATCCTTGGCACTGAATGTAAGTGGTGTGGATGTAATCTCTGGTTTGGGAATTCCCTTTAAACCTCTGATCCCAAGTTCCTGGGATGTTTTGCCAGAGATGGAATCGTTTACCTTCCTAAAGGGTTTATGTTGGAAAAGGATATCAGACCACATTGCCTCTTGCTCTGACCTGCTGTGGCAACAGTTAGTTTCCTTAATTAGAGCCCTTTGGTTGGTTTTCTTTCAGTACTAGATACTTGATTTCAATCTCCATGCCTGTCAACATGACAATTTTTGCAAGCAACATTCAAATGTATTTGATTAGGTACATTGCTGTCAACTGAAAAGCAATCATGTTTCAGCAGGCATTTCATGTACTGGCAATGGCTTGACCATATCTGTACAATGTTATCTGGCATCCCACCTTCGCCTTCTACTGGAGCCACTGCCTCAAGTAGTCATGCAGGTTTTGTAACTCTGCTGTAACTTCCCTGCTGAAATCCTATGGTGTACCTCAGAAGGGCACCTGGAAACTAGGATCATGGCAAAGACTTGCCTGGATGCAAACTGGGAGCAAGACTGCAGGAAAGCAAGCAGCAGACTAGTCAACTACAGAACTTTGTGGTAGGAGCAGGGTTCAGATTTGCTCGTTAGAGGTTTTGTCTTCAGGCTTGGTCCTACAGGTTCACCTTCAGGTCCTTCATATGCGTTATAACCTTCTTGACTTGTAACCACATACTGACATAGTTGGCACTAGGTCACATTTTGCACATAGCCTGCTGATAATGCCCGCAGCAATTCCTGCCAGCAGCTTAGGTCAGTGCAGGTGGCGATGTTCCAGTAACCACTTTGGCACACTGGTAGGTTTTTTTTCTACATGGGAAGGTCTATAACCAGTCCTGCAAAACTTGTTTAACTAGTCCTTCCTTTGTACAGTTCCCCGTGTGCTCAGCCTTCCCACAGCACCTTGCCTCACACTTTGCTATATGCGTGTCCTTATTCCCTATTTTAGGGTAATAGGTGGAAGCTTTCCAGTGGCAGTTCCATGGGGAAATGTCAGTTCAAGGCGTT